GTTGACTAAAGTCCATAGTTTACATTAGAGTTTATTCTTTGTGCTCTATATCCTGTGGGTTTTGACAAATACATTAATGTCATATGTCCACCATTACATTCTCATACAGATAATGGACAGTTTCACTGTCCCCAAAATTCCCAGTTGGCCACCTGTTTATCCCTCCCCACTCCCAAACCCCTGGCAACCATTGGTCTTTTTGCCAACCCCTTAGTTTTGCCTTGTCCAGGAAGATTTATACAATAGACCCCCCACTATTATCTGCAGTCTCACTTCTGAAAACAGATGAGTTTCATCCAATAAGATATTTTGAGGGAGAGAGACCACATTCACATAAGTTTTATTACAGTATATTTTTGTAATTATTCTATTTTACTACTATTATTTTTAATCTCACTGTGCCTATTTTATAAATTAAACTTTATCATAAGTATATCTGTATAGGAAGAAACAAAATATATAGCGTTCGGTACTATCTGCAGTTCTAGGTGTCCGCTAGGGGCCTTGGAACATAAAATCCCATGGATAACAGGGGACTATCGTAGTTGGAATCATACAGTATGCATCCTTTTCAGATGAACTTCTTTCACCTAGTAGTATGCATTTAATGTTCTTCATATCTTAATAGCTTATTTTTTCTTTTATCAGTGAACGTTATTTCATTATCTGGATGCACCACAGTTTGTGTCTTCATTTGCATAAAGAAGGACTTCTTGGTTGCTTCCAAGTTTGGGCAGTTATGAATAAAGATGTTATAAACATTTATGTACAAGTTTTTGAGTGAACATAAGTTTTCAACTCATTTGGGTAGATACCAAGGAGCATGATTGGTGAATACTGCAAGAAGAGGTTTAGTTTTGTAAAAAACTGCCAAACTGTCTTCCAGAGTGGCTCTACCATTTTGCATTCTCATCAACGATGAGTAAGAGTTCCTGTTGCTCCAAATCCTCACCAGCACTTGGTGTTTTTATTGTTCTGGATTTTAGCCATTCTAACATATGTGTGGTGGTTTCTCACTGTTGTTTTGATTTGCAGTTCTCTAATGACAGAGAATGTGGAACATCTTTTCATATGCTTACTTGCTATCTGTATATCTTCTTCGGTAAGGTGTCAGTTCAAATATTTTGCCCATTTTTAAATTGGGTTGTTTTCTTATTGTGCTTTAAGAGTTCTTTGTATATCTTGGGTACCAGTTCTTTATCAGATACGTGTTTTGCAAATATTTTCAGCCAGCTCTGGCTTGACTTTTCATTCTCTTTAAGTTCTTTTTTGACAGACTTCTCATAACACCCAACAATTTCGTGAATCAATTTTGACATTTTTTTAATTAAAGAAAAAAGTCAAACAGTTATGAAACTTGTTTAAGTTGCTTGGAGACATACCATGTTTTAAGCCATTTCATTTAAAGCTTTCCTGATTGTTGGACTGCAGTATGTCCATTTACTCTATCAGACACAGAAATGCAGTTTATCAGGGGAACTCTAAAGAAGGCAAGCCACTTTTACTTGTTACTCTGGGAAAGTAAAGTCACACTTTGGAGATGACATCATCCTGAATAGTATACACAAACTGTGAATGCCTTTGAGTCAGAGATGACTTAACCACTCACAAAGAACTATAAGATTAAAATCTCAGTCTTTTCCGATTAGGTAAACTGTCCATTAGTTTAGAATGCCTCTATCCATTTTATAAAAATTTACTCAGTTTTTGACTCATAGTGTAGCATGTAACCACACACAATGATAGTAAGATACCTAGACTTGATCATTAATGAACAACATGTCTTTGAAAACCATAATAAACATAATTTCAACAAAATTTCCAGTCTTACTGATTGTAGAGATTTAGTCATATGGTAAACATTATTACCTGCAGGTACATGCAGATATCAACAAGTAAAAATAGTTGACTTGAAAAGTTGAATAATATATTAGAAAAAAAATCATCTGGGTTAGAAGAATCAAGAAATTTTTAGAGTTGAGAGAGAAGGGATCCAGTCCAGGGCTGGAAAATAAACTTCATGTCATGTCCCACCTCCATCCATTGGCAGCAGCTTTCTCTCATCACGATGTGCAGAAGGGTGCGGATGCTCCATCTGGGTGCAGTGGGTGAGAGAGCCTCAATCCATTAGTGGTTTGCAAAGGGAGGCCCAGGTAGAGCCTCAAACCCATAAACATCTTGCTCAGTAGAATCTTACATCCCGACTCAAGGATGAGAAAATGGAGGCTCAAATAACTTAAAAGTGTTTTCGAAAGTCACCCAACTGGCTGGTGGCCATGCTGATGTTTACCAGGTAAGAATTTCATTGCTTCCATCCCGTGATACAACCATCTACAGTTGATACCCAGACAACTGGTCTCAGCTCTAAGGCTGACAGGCTTGAAAAAACAAATCTCCATTGTGGACAAATAGTCATCATATTTAAAACTGTGTTTAAAATATTCAGTAAGAAAAGATCTGGTCTATTCAAGAGAAAGGTGGGACTCATTAACAGAAATCAAATTTCAAGGAACTAGAAAAGTGACTGCAAGGTAGCATAACAGTCTGTGCTTGAGCTAACCCATGCCACCTATTAAGATGAAGGAAACAACACAGCAACCTGGAGGTGGCGAATTGAAATGATGGCCAGGACAGCCTGCAACATATTCTGAAATGATTCCTCTGTTGATGACTGGCTGTGGTCTCTTGGGTCAGAGAATATAGGCATAGGGTCAAGTGAAGCCTTGTACAGAAAAGTTTTTGTATTTGCATTTGTTTTGTTTTTTTGTTTACCCATTGAGAAAGTATTTGCCAGACACTGATGTGTATTTTTCTGTGCTGTGTGTATGTAGGTAAAAAAAGAAGAAAGTGGTCTAGCTAAAGCAATTAGATAGTAAGCAGCAGGCATTTCATATCTAAAAAGTGGGACATATTAATTATAAAGGTACTTCTTGGTGCTACCAGGCACTGGATATGTGCTCCTGTGGAAACATGCATAATAATCTGTTCTACATTAGTTATCTACCGTTTATTAGCCACCAGTCTATAATAATAGCAGACATCTATGGAATGCTTAATATGTGCCACCACTGGACCACGTTGGAATACATTATTTTATTTTAATGTCAGCTATTCCAAAGAAGTAAGTAGTGTCACTTTACATAGCTGCAAGGGATATCCTGAAGATTCAAGCCCAGGTTTACCTGATTCTAAAACCATTTCCCAGGTTATCATGTAAGACTGCCTCTCTCATCCAACTGCTTTGAACCTCTCTTCTTATCTGTGAACTGGAGATTATACCAATTAGAAGCATCAGAAGAACCAATTTTTATAAAAACTTAATAATTTTTAAAGCATTATTCAGAAATAATATGCTGTTATTTATAAATAAATGATTTAAGCCAGCAAGCAGATACTCCATTGTTGTAATATTTATTTATAGCCGATGAGCAATGTTATGTAGTTTTGCTAACAAGTAATTTATTTTCATAATACTTTATGGAACTGTTTTTTCCAAATACATCATCGATTATTTAGCTAGCTACAATTTAGGCCTTACTTTTCTATCATAAATTTGCCTTTTCTCCTAAATAGTCATGCTTGAGGGGACTGAGTAATTGCTTTCAGCATAATTACAGCTGCACAGTAACACAACACACCACTTACAGGTCTTTTGAATGCTTATTATTTTGGCATAAACATAGTTGATCAATTTCATATTTCTCATTGCTATTATATTAAATCTTAAAGACAAATATGCTTAATGTATTAGATGTAAAATGTCAGTAGCATACAAACAAAAAACTGGTTTAGTTTATTTGTTGCCAGTTAATTCGTCACAGACCTCATGACTATGTTTAAAGGCCTTTGAAGGATTAGATTAAAAAATGATACATCACAGTAAATTAAGCTGATGAATTGTTTTCCAAATGACTAACTTATTTTTCCTCCAGATGCCTGCTTGATGGTCAGAAATATAGCTCGTATATCTTTATTTTGTATTTATATATAATAAGTATTCTTAATGTTTTGTTATGTTGAATAAGGATTTGCTCTCAAAAAATTTAAGAGAAAATTAAACTGTTCAAAACTGAAATTTGTGACAAAAGAAAAAACAAAAATAATGAAATTTGTTTAATGGATTTTTAGAAAGTGGTCCTTAGAATGTCTATGTAAGGATTTGGGATAGAAAGTCTAAGTGAGAGTCTGCCTAAGACAAAGGAGCAGAGTTAATTCTTCTCAAACTCACAATTTTATCACAGAGAGCTATGGTCCCCAACTTTTTTGGCATCGGGGACCAGTTTCATGGAAGACAATTTTTTTCCATGGACTGGGGTGGAGGATGGTTTTGGGATGAAACTGATCCACCTCAGATCATCAGGCATTAGATTCTCATTAGGAGCATGCAACCTAGATCCCTCGCATGCACAGTTCACAATAGGGTTCTTGCTCCTATGAGAATCAAACTCTGCCACTTATGTGAAATGAAGTGGAGCTCAGGAGGTAATGCTCGCTGGCCTGCCACTCACCTCCTGCTGTGCAGCCCTGTTCCTAACAGACCATGGACCAGTACCCGTCCACAGCCCAGGGGTGGAGGACCCCTGATATAGAGAATTGAGTTAGGGCACTCTACAGTATGGCTTTTGTTGGTTTGATATATATTCTTTCACAGACAAGATTTTTCTATTTCACATATTTAGGCTTCCAAGCATCACATTATTTTCCTCAGTTGCTTCTATTTAGAAATCACCCACTGGTCACCTGTATACTAAGTACGTACATCTTGATACTTTGTTTTTGTTTATTTGTAGGGGTGGGTGGGCTTTTGTAGGTTGAACCCCCCCCCCATTTTTTTAGCCCTTTTTCCACTTAAACATGAGATGACAATGTGGTCACACTCGTTGGTTACTCACTGAAGTCACAACACCATGCAATGTTTTAAATATTCCATGGATTTATCTATGGCGATTGGGAGAACTTTCTTTGTGTGTTGACTTGCTTTTCTGTTCTGTTTCCTGTAGAAACGCTCCAGAGGACAAGTGCTGTTTGATAAAGTATGTGAACACTTGAACTTGCTAGAGAAAGACTACTTTGGGCTTACGTATCGAGATGCTGAAAACCAGAAGGTGAGTGATCAAAATCAGTGCAAAATAAGATGACTTGAACTGCTCATTTCTGCTGGAAAATGAAATGAAACTGAGTGGGTGGATCACTTTCTTCACCTCCCTTCGTACTCCCACATTTTCTACTTTGAGTCTGTAAATGCTGTTAATCATCTATTTCTTGATAAAGGAGATCACTGGCAGCTTCCCTTAATCTTGAATATTCTGGTAACAGTAAATGAACTCTAGTTTTTCATGCTTGAGTTATTTGTGGTTTCTAGAAATCATTTTAGTGTGGTGCCTTTTCGATGGGGTAATGTATTTCAGTAGATTATTTGAACCAATGAAAATCAATTGATATTTATGCAAAAATCATGTTCATATCCCAAAATTCTATGAAGCTATTACGGTTGTAACCCCAAAACTATCAGGACAGTTTATTATTGGTGCTGCCCTATTTTTCATTCATCATTTTATGCTTTCATATTGTTTCTGAATCAGAATATGAGGTGGATTGTACACTGACCTGACACTTGTCTAATGTGTTTAGTAGATGTTTTATGCAATACCTCTGTAGACTCTGTTCAGGGCTATATCTCCTTAATCCTCACAACTACCTGAGAAATACAGAAAAGGAAATCATTTCCATTGCACTGATATGAGAAGCTGAGTTAGAAATTCTGCTCATAGATTACCCATTTTGGTATTGTGCCATAAGTCATACTTAATACCTCCTGAAATTGCCAAACAATGCATAACTTTATTATTAAACATCTGATTTTACCAGGTGAGGAAAATCACAAATCACAAGCAAGTGTTCATTTGTTAGGGAAGTTTCCTAGGTAGATGCCTAAGAATCTTTCATTGCAGAGGTCTCTAATGTGGAACTAAATGGCTAGGATATCAGTGTACCCAGTTACATATATTTTTAATTTATCCTAGTAACTTGTTTACATAGAGAATCTTCTGCCTTTTCTTCTCTGTTTCTGTGCTACCTTGAATCTATGAAGGCAATGGTTATAAAAGAAAAAGACTTTGTCAGGTCCAAACTGCACACATGTGCATTTTCTCATTAGACCAGTACCTGGGCCCTTGGAGGGCTTGGCAGAGGGACACCAGTTATGGGGGAAGGACCACAACGAGGGAAGCCATCCTAGGACCACTGGCTCCTCACTGCATATGGGGCGAGTCTGTACCTAATCAACATTAAGTCATTTTTATTCTACTCTGATTCAAATTCAAAATGTCGTTTCCTTTTCAGAATTGGTTGGACCCTGCTAAGGAAATAAAAAAACAGGTTCGAAGTAAGTTCTTTTGGATTACTTTTTATGGAAATGTGAAGGTTTTCAGAGAGCGAGTTGTCTGAATTGGTAGACCATACCTAAATGGCTAGTATGACTACAAACTTTTCTTGTCTCACATTTGATCTGGCAGTTCAGATAGTACTCATTTTATAATTGTCACAACTTGGGATTTAAAAGGAACATGATACTTGACCTGTTCCTCTGCCTGTGAGTAGATGTCAAGTATATGATGTAATCAACTGATGTTTGAATTGGCAATTAACCATTTAAAAGTTCCAAACTGAATTATTAATGTTCCATCAGTCACAAAAGTATGAAAGGCTACATAAAAGTCATAATCATTTCATAGCTCTGACTTGAATCAAGTCAAACTAAAGTTTACTGTCTGGTAACAACGTTTCTTAGTCCCCTAAAGGCAATTTTAAAAACATAATTTAATGGACCAAACAATTGCAGGAGCAACTCACAAATTTGAAATACAAGTAGCTAATAAATATTAAACAAGTTGCTAAATTTTAGTAATGATTTAATGCAAATTAAAATGATACATCATTTTTCAGATTAACAAATAATTAAAGTTTAATAATAAACTCTATCACTTATTTACCCAATTGGTAGAATAAGTTGGTTCAATCCATTCAGAGGGCAATTTGTCAGTATTTACTAAAATTTAAGCTATACTTACTCTTTGACCCTTAATTTCACTTGTGGAAATTTATTCAGCATGTGTATTAAGGAGGAAAATGTGCATTTGTATAGAAAATGAAGGTTCATTATAATTAATACTATTTCCAGTTGCAGAAAACTAGAAGCAACTTGATTATCCATGTATAAAGAAATTATTAAGTCAATCATGGAATAGCCATATAAATATGTCTTAGTGCTCCTTAGTGAAAATCAGTTTGTGGAATATTATCTATGGCATAATCACATTTGTTTTTTAAAAAATTATGTCTGTATAGATGCATGGAAGACTTTTGGAAGGCAGGAAGATTTTAATAGTAATTACTCCAGAAGTATCATTCAGTGAAAGTAGGGGTTGAGAAAGAGGAGCTTTTACAATTTTTTACCCTTGCTGTAGTTCTTATTTTTGCCACTAACGTGGATGCTCTTTATAATTTAAAATAACTACATTTTATTCGTATTTTTTGTCAATAAAGTCTAAATTTTTCTGAATAACTAATGCTATTTAAAGGATACATTTAAGAGCATTTTATTGATAAGAACATCATTCCCACTTCAGTAAGTAAGTTCTCAGTAGTTTACTATTAAAAGAGCAAGCAAATACTTCTTAGTGCCTTTGAAAGTCCTGAGCTATCAAAATAATACCCCAAGTACTAATAAAACATAATTAGTAGTGAGCAGTTTGAAATGGTTTAATATGATAATATTCCAGAAAGACAAAAATATAACCATATTCTAGATATAAGAGAGTCAGCTGATTATTTGTACAATTTAGACATCTTTACCATATATTTGAGGGAAATTATATATATCCACTAACCAGAAACTTGATAACAGATTAGGTTAATAGAAATCGTTAATTGAGATGGAAACCAGGGATAGCTGTAGTTGTGATAAATAGGTGAAAACACTACTTATTTTTTGTTCTGAGGAATCCTAAGAAAAAATGTAAGATAAATATTTTTCTAAGGATTATTAGTTATTAAAGCAGACATGCTGAATATATATCATAACATTTTGTGTGCATAAAGCTCTCATATTCATCTAATTGATGGAATACTGGGCTGATGAATAATTGCAGAGCACTTTGAAAATATATAAAATGTTCAAGGATAAGTCATAATACCATGACAAGAAAGGCTGTATAAATTGTCTAATTTTCTTTTTTCTTATTAATAGAATTCATTTTTTCTTTAACTTCCCATTTATACTGTCTTCTACCATCCTTTCAAAGAGAAGAAAGTAAAGGGACAAGACAATCAAAACAAGAGATTTAAAGGATTTTTTTCATCATGCAGATTAGGCAGTATATATGACTTTGCCATGAAGAAAACTGACAGTCTTGCAGATAAAGGAGACAAGGAAAATTGGAATTTCCTTAAAAATGGGATTTGATATTTTTATCTGTATTCTTTGTTCTTTCCCATCCACTAAAATACCCCCTTGCCACAAAATTTACATTCAACCGAGACAGAGAAGTATTACCACATCTAATGTAATTACTGTACCATTACCTCCTCTTCCAAAATATAAATGATAAAAGGATGTTTCCATGCTTTTTCTGCTGTGGGCTCACAGGGTTCCTTTAGAATGAGACCTTTAAGAAAATGGAAACCAAGCTAACAAATATTTTAAGTCCAACTTTATGATAAGAAGAAAATTCTAAAACTCCATGCCTCTAATTCCAGTGCTTTGGGAGGCTAAGACAGGAGGATCACTTGGGACCAGAAGTTCAAGACCAGCCTGGGCAACATAGGGAGACCCTGTCTCTATTTTTTTTTTTTTTAATTGTTTTAGTTAGCTGAGCTCAGAGACACATGCCTGTAGTTAGTCACTACTGAGGAGACTAAGAGGGCTGGATACTTGAGCCTAGGAGTTTAAGGCTGCAGTAAGCTATGATTGTGCCACTGTACTCTAGTGTGGGTGTCAGAGTGAGACCCTGCTTCTAAAGAAAAAAAAAAAAAAACCCAGAAAATTCTGAAACTGAAGAGTTTTTATAGGAAAAATTCTTATTCCAGGAATCTTTTATGCATGCTGGAAATCTTTAAATTTCTAAATACACTATATTTTGTGATTTTAAGTATGTTCATGATATAGTAATTTTGTGATATAGGGCATATATCATACTTTTATGTATAAATGCAGTATATTAGAAATTTTAAGATTTGGCTGGCATCAAAGACTAACATTACAAATTTATCATAAGAATGAACTATCGTGAGTGCTGCTATTTTCTATTTATCGTAAATCTGTAACTTAAAATTCCACATCAGCATTATAGAAGTATTCATGTTAATGTCTTCAAGCTGTTCCATTTCCTCTTTCTAACTAGGGCCCTCATTTGAGCAAATATAGAGTTGCAAGCTTGTTTATTGCATAAGCACTTCCTTCTCAGTGGATTTGTTTTTGTCACATTCTTTATGGGGATATATACTTGAGCTTTAATCTCCCTCTCTCATTAATTTCCAGTTTTATGCCTCATTTAACTGGACTCTTTTTTTCTTAATTGGCATGTAGATTGTATTATAGTATCTGTACACTTTCCCATTGTTTCAAAATACTGTCCTGAAAGATGTATTTTAGGGAAGTGGATTCCTTCGTAGTAGTGATTTTTCAAAGTGTGCTTCCAAAGCCCATTTTTATTATTAGAACCATAAGGGAGCTTATTTAAGCCATAAATTTCGAAGCCGTATTCGAAATCTCTGGAATGAAAATCCCTGGGGTGGAGTCTGGGAATTGGCATTTTTAACAGGTACCTCAGGTATTTCTTCGACTCACTGTAGTTTGAAACTTGCTTTCCTAGAATGAGGATTTTTGCATTAAATGTCTTTCCTATATTTTTATTACTTGTTAGTGTCTAACTTGGACATTTATTATAAGATTGTTTAATTACATTGCTAAACTATTCATTGGATTCAAGGCCTGCTTTGAAGTGAACCAAAATTATAAAAGAGTAATAAATCCATTTCCCATAACTAATCCATTAGTTTTCATTTCACTTTCTTGGCAGAAAGCCAGCACTCATTATGAACCTTACCATTGGCAAGCATTGAGGGGATCTATTTTAATAGGAAATGAGTAGGAATCAATAAGAAAATAAAACCAAATCAGACTATTTTTGGAAAAACAAAAGGACTTTTTTGAGAACAGTGGGAAAAACAGTCACTAAAATATATTTGCCTGACAGATATATTTTGAGTGGTTTAAAAATGATATTAAGCCCCCAATAATGCCTAGTCCTATACTAAATCCTTTATAGAGCACCTCAGGTAGAGTCCCTGCCATGTGCAATCTTAAATGTGATGTCAACGATAGTGTCAACAATAAACTAACTAATACATGGATTTATGCCATTTGTGACAAAGTGTAAGAAACTGATGATGAAGCTAAGTATTGCTCCGATGCAGGTGAGCAGTGCAGAGAAAGGAGCGAGGAAATACAGTACTGTGCCTTCTGAATGTTCGGGAAAGGCTCATGGAGCAATGCAGTGTCCAGAAGTCATTCAATTGAGAGACAGGGAGATTTGGAAGTCTTAGGAGACTATTAGAAGCAAAAGGGGCAGACTGTGAAGTCACAGAATCAGAATCCTAGAGTAAAGGCAAGTCAGTGGCCACTGGGTGAGGCATGAATGAAAGACCTCCAGAGTGGAAGCTGGGGGACTGGGAGGAATTTTTCAGTAAACCATTCAAAATACAAGCAGTATCTAGGCTCTGGCACTTTTAGTGTCCTTCTTGGGTAGAGGGAAAAAATATAAACAGCACCAGAGAGGAGGAGTACCCAGACTTTGGTAAATTGCTGCATTTAAAAGCCAGAACAGGCCGGGCACGGTGGCTCAAGCCTGTAATCCCAGCACTTTGGGAGGCCGAGGCGGGTGGATCACAAGGTCAAGAGATCGAGACTATACTGGTCAACATGGTGAAACCCCGTCTCTACTAAAAATACAAAAAATTAGCTGGGCATGGTGGCACGTGCCTCTAATCCCAGCTACTCAGGAGGCTGAGGCAGGAGAATTGCCTGAACCCAGGAGGCGGAGGTTGCAGTGAGCCGAGATTGCACCATTGCACTCCAGCCTGGGTAACAAGAGCGAAACTCCGTCTCAAATAAATAAATAAATAAATAAATAAATAAATAAATAAATAAATAAATAAATAAAAGCCAGAACAGAGTGAATACAAATTAAAATAATGATCACATAGTAAATGTAGAAAAAAAGAAAAGGGTGTTTTCTACATTTATATTGATAAACCATATATAATTAGAGATAGTATTAATGAGATGTGGAGCTTAGTTAAGGCTTCATAATGTTTCAAAGATACCTGTTTACAATCCAGAGAGTAGATAGTCGTGAGCTGACTCCTGGTTGACCCTTTTCAGTTCTGGAGAGGCCTTGAGTAAAGGCCACAGGATAAAGATGGCAAAGCATAAAGAGGATCCGGCTAAGACTCAGGCTAAGGAGGTACAGGTGCAAAATTTGGCAATGTACAATAAATACATTCAAGTACCTATTTCAGCAAAAGTTTTCCTGAGCAAGAAAAGAATTTTCAACCGCCCACAGAGCAGCCCACTTACTAGAACATTGTCCACTGCAACAAACTCTTCTCATAAAATAAATCTATGTTTAATATTCCCTTTTCATTTACTATAATTGGATTTGACCTACAATAACAAAGCAGAAAGGACAAAGAAAATGGGAATTATGTTTGTAGTGTTGGTCTGTGAGCTATCCAGAAATTCGCAGCAATAAATCCAGCCACTTCCAGATTTCCCTGATTGAAGATTATTCGTATCATTCATGTTTTTTTCCCTCTTCCAAGTGCTGACCTTTGATTCTGAAAGAGGTGGGAAGTTTGATCAGTTTCCTAGCTAGTTAAAAGTCCCAATAAAGGATTTGATTGGGGAGAAGATTAGAAATTAGGTGAGGTTTTAGACTTATCTATATATTTCATATCACCAAGGTTTCCCAATTTTCCATTAATGATCAAAAGTTGCCTGGGTGTTAATGTTTGGAGTTAAGGCAGTTCTGGCTATCAATTGGAATCATAAGATTTTCTTGAGGTTTTACTCTAATTTTTTCCCATTCTCGCAGGTGGTGCTTGGCACTTTTCTTTTAATGTGAAATTCTATCCACCAGACCCTGCCCAGCTATCTGAAGATATCACCAGGTATTTGAAAGTTGGCTGTGCAAAAGACAAGCATTATTGGGAGAGTTGTGCTTCTCTTAAATGCTCCAGAGAGCAGTGTGCTTACATCTGTGGTAGCCTTACAATCAACCACGCTCAAATGGCAAATAAAAGGCAAATGAATGAGACTAAACATCTGATGAGAAGATTTGCCAATCCTGTATTTTCACAGTTGAATCTTTGGTGCCAGGCTGATATTCCCTCTGCCTGACCCTGGTGGGAAAACATGCAGAATTGAGATACTATCATCCACCCACCATAGTCAAATTGGATGGGATTTAGCCTTATACGATACAGCACTTCTTAGTTTTTCTGCTTTAATACTTAGAGTAAAAATGTCCTTGGATGCTTATGCTTTTTATATAACCAACACATACGCACATAAATTTGAATGTTTACTTTCTAGGTCTTGTGTAAAGGAAAATGATTGTTTTCTAGAAAGAAGATGTTAAGAAAGGAATCGAACATAAAAATATTTCAGTTTGGTAACTGAATTGAGTGTGAAAAAGGATCTCATTATAAAGCTGTTCTGGATTTCTTAGTCTGGGCTGCTCTAACAAAATACCACAAACTGGGTGGTTAATAAACAATAGAAACTTATTTCTCACTGTTCTGGAGACTGGGAATTTGAGATCAGGGTGCCCGCAGGTAAGGTTCTGGTGAGGATGTGCTTCCAGGTTGCAGGATGTGACTTCTTACTGTGTCCTCATGTGGTGAAAGGGTGATGGAGTCTCTCTCCAGCCTTTTTTATAAGGGCACTAATCCCATTCATGAGGGCTCCACCCTAATAGCTTTCCAGAGACCCCCCACCTTATGATTTCATCACCTTGAGGGTAGGATTCGAACATACGGATTTGGAGCGGAAGGGACACAGACACTCAGTTCATTTTTCCTGGTGTGCTCTGACCTTCTAGGCTTCTCTACATTCACCTTAGAACCCCTACTCTCTTGCTTAGCTTGGTAGTAAGTTTATAACCAGTCAAAGCAATTTTGTGCCGTATGTGTAGAATTTTCTGTGTAAGCTTTGCATTCTTTATGGGGGGCTTTACAGAAAAGAGAAATTACTCAAAATAGCTTCAATCACTTGCTACAGTTAAAAATAATTTCACCAGACATATTAAGAGAAGATTAAAAATTAGTTCCAGAGAATTTTTTAATATTTGCAATAAATCAGATAAAATTTATATAATTTCTTATTTAAAGATACTTTTTAGTTGCTATTGAAGCAACTAATTTTATTTTGGCTAATTTGTGGTTATAGAGCCCATATATATACCTGGACTTGAAACTGTAGTGCATGATTTCTATTGACTCGTAATATTTGTAGAGCCTGTTAAATGTTTAAAGATTTTTTTCTGTCTGAATTACATGGAATTTACTTATGTCACCAGCCTAAAATCGTAACTAGAGGGGACCTTAAGACTTGATCATAGTCCTCTGCTTCCATAGATGAACAATTCATTTCTTATCTAAAACATAGCAGGTGTGCTTTGTTCTATTCATATTCTAGGCTGTGATCCGGATTCTTAAAACTCATCAGTGTTAACACTTACCTTGAGGTGTTTGGCAGTTAGTAATTTATCTGTAAGCCTTAAAAGCAAAATAACGGAGAAGACAAATCAGCATATTTTTATGATATGGCAAAATTATATGGAAAATGTTAATTTCTCCAGTTTAAAACTATGGTGACAAGATTCTCAAATTTTAGGATAGCAATTCTTTATATCTTAGATAGATTTTAAGAAGCTACCTGAATTTTTAAAATGAGCACTGAAAACAGAAGAAATTGTGTTATTATAAAGAGATTACCTAATTAGGAATGCAGGAAATTGAGAGCAAAGTTTATAATGACATAGCTGTTGAGTTACCTGAAATCTATTTTGCTCATATAGGAAGACCTGTCATCTTAATATCAAAATGAGACTTCTGTAAGGCTAATTGGGGCCTAATAATTACAGTCATGTCACTTAACAATGAAGATACATTCTGAGAAATGTGTCTTTAGATGATCTTATTGTTATGTGAACATCCCAGAGTGGACTTGCACAAAGCTAAATGGTAGAGCCTACTGTTCATCTACGTTCTATGACAAAGCCCGTTGCTCCTAGGCTACAAACCTGTACAGCATGTGACTGTACTGAATACTGTGGGAAATTATTATAGAATGGTAAGTATTTGTATATCAAAATATAGAAAACATACAAAAAATACCATACAAAAGATTGTTTTTAGTGGTACACTCATATAGCCTAAGTGTACAGTGTTTATAAAGACCACAGTAGTGTATGATAACACTGTGTACACTTGGGCTACTTTCAACTTAGTTTAAAAAATGTCTTTCTTCAATAATAAATTAACCTTAGCTTACTTTTTAAAAGTAGTTTTTAAAGTAAAATTGAAGTAATTTAAGTAAAAATTTAAAGTAAAAATTAACCTTTTTACTTTTTAAACTTTTAAATTTTTTAAACGTTTGCCTCTTGTAGTAACACTTCACTTAAAACACACATTGTACAGGTGCATAAAAATATTTTCTTTCTTTATATCCTTATTCTGTACATTTTCTTCCATTTTTAAAATTTATAATTTGTTTTTACTTTAAAGTTCTTTCTTTAAAAACTTAAGACATAAGCACATATTAGCCTAGGCCTACACAGGGTCAAGATTGTCAGTATCACTGTCTCCACTTCCACATCCTGTACCACTGGAAGGTCTTCAGGGACAGTAACACATGGGAATCTGTCCTCTCTAGGATAACAATCCCTTCTTCTGATACCTTGTGAAGCTCCTGCCAGAGGCTGTTTTACAGTTAACTTTTCGTTTTTTACAAGTAGGAGGAGTAAACTCTATAAAAAGTATAGCGTAGTGAATACATAAACTAGTACATAATCACTTGTTATTTTTATCAAGTATTCAGTTTTGCACATGACTGCATGTGCTAGTCTTTTATATGAGTATGTTTGTTTACACCAGCTCCACCACAAATGTATTATGTTATGACATTAAGATAGCTGTGATGTCACTAGGCAATAGGAATTTTTTAGCTCCGTTATAATCTCATGGGACTACCATCGTGTGTGTGTGTGTGTGTGTGTGTGTGTGTGTGTATGTGTATGTGGTTCACCATTGACTGCAACATAGTTTTGTGGCACATAACTATATTTAAAAAGCATCATTTTTACATTATTCCCCTACCCAAGGATTTCAGGAACTACCTTGGGGACTGTTCACTTGATTTTAAAAGTTATTTTAAAAGATGTTAGAAGAATATGTCTTTACATTTCTTTTAGACTGTGCTTTATTAATAAACCCCATTTTATTAAGAACATTGCCTTGCTTCTAGATGCCTTTAAGTACCATCTTTTGTTACCAAGTATTCTTCCCTTCTATCTAGAACAAATATGTATGAAGTAAATATCAAAATATACAGATGCTAGAAAATGTATCTTAGAGAGGTTGTTCTACAGGGAGAAATTACTTACCACAGTTTTTACCAAGCGATCTCCTTTTCCTGTATCCTCATGCTGGCCTTCGTTGTGTTGTGCTTTTGGTTCCTGGAAGGTACTACCTCTGCTTGCAGTTGCGAGATGACATTGTGTCCGGAAGGCTGCCCTGCTCCTTTGTTACCCTGGCCTTGCTGGGCTCCTACACTGTCCAGTCAGAACTCGGAGACTACGACCCAGACGAATGTGGGAGCGATTATATTAGTGAGTTCCGCTTTGCACCAAACCACACGAAAGAACTGGAAGACAAAGTGATCGAGCTGCACAAGAGCCACAGGTTAGAGGCAGAAGCCCTGAGTGTGTTCATTTAAGTTGTACCTTGATGGGTGAGTGCTCTGCACACAACCCACCTCTTCCCAGTACTAATTTTAGTCCAATAACGGTGAGACTTGAGCAGAGCGTGGGTCCATGCACAGTCAAGTTCTGAGATGGGTAAGCTTTCACTGAGAGCATTCAGGCATTCATTTGTAGTGCTTTCTTGCAAAGCCCTTTTTCTTGTTATTCTTTTCTCATGTATCTTCTGATGCCTCCATGGGTGAGGGGAACTGCTTCTCATGATATAGCATGGAGCAAAGTGGGAAATTTTGCAGCCTACCAGGGAAGGGAAAAGCATCATTGTAATATATTTTTCTTCTCATCAGAGGGATGACGCCAGCAGAAGCAGAGATGCATTTCTTGGAAAATGCCAAAAAATTGTCCATGTATGGGGTAGATTTACATCATGCTAAGGTATGCATTTTTTCAACTCTAGACTTTCTATTTAATGTTATTTAACTCAGTGTTGTTCTTACTGTAAATTGGTGGTTTTTACTTCAGCTAATGTGAATGAAACCTTTGAGAATTCAAATCTGTTTGTCTTTTAAGCCCTATTCCACGATACAGCAAATGTAGCTTTCTGATATTTACCAAAGGGTTTGCTCTTTGTGGCTCAAACTTGCATTACTCCTGGGCTCAGCCTTCTGAGAGCCTGTGATAGGCAAAGCCTGTGATTGCCTTTTGATACAGTTAGAAACCTACTGTGACATAATAAGCTCTTCGTTCACCCTGTTTCCCCATCACTGTCCTATTCCCCACTCTGTGCTTTCACATGCCCTTCGCTCCCATCAGACTCCGTTTCTGCCCTTTCTCTATGTCCATCTCTGGATTGTCCTCCTCTTTCCTGTGTGTCTAAACTTAGCCTATTGTCCAAGACTCAAGTGTGACATCTGTTGTGGGTCCTACCTGGACACATACCACACATACTGTCTGTAGCCCTACCTGGACACATACCAGGCAGTCAGTAAATTCATATAGAATTTAAGAAGTCTACCCCCAAAGTTTAGGTACTCCGACAAATAATCAGAACTCTGTACTAAGATTGTTGTTTTAAATTTCACCCACACTAAGGTTTGCCTCTGTGACTGGTGACTGATAAAATGTTAAAGGTGTATCGACCTGATGAAATGTTAAAGATGTATCTTGAAAACAGAGTCTTGGGAAGGAAGAATTTGGATTGAGATGGTATGGGGTTACTGTTGTGAAAATGCGCAGAGCAGCTTTGACTCCCTGTCATGCTTATTCTGGAATTTCTGTACTTTTCAGCAGTGATAGAATGAATGTAGGACTACTAGTCTTTTTAAACAGCCCAGAATAAAAGTCCTATGGAAATACGGGGAAGCTTTTGTGAAAACTTTTATTAGCACAACATATAAAATTTGTTAGGATCATAGGTTTGGATTCTGATACATTAGCAGTGTTAAAAAGGTCAATGTTAAAGGTCAGAGGTCATTTTTTCTGATTAGGTCCAACAGGACATTGTTCCTGTTTAGGGATGTGTGTTTGACCTTGATGGACAGAGTTAATTACCAGTTTTATGGTCTGAGACTCACAAAACGTGTAGTTACAGGTTTCCAGGCAAATGAGTCTTGTACAGTCAGGCTTAGGGCCCGGAAATGAAGAGAATTTCAGCTGGCTCTGTTCAAGCAAACACCTCAGCACCCCTGTGGACCCATGGGAGGGAGGTCTGTGACCTATAGGTTCTGTTAATACTGGAAGTTGGGCTGCACTTTGGTTAGCATTTGGAAAGCAAGATTAATCCACAGGGATTTGGCCCTTGAATCTATGCGTGTTTGATTGGTTTTGCTTCCGATCACTCCACACATTGGGCAAAATGAGCTCTCCAAGGCCCGAGCGCTAGCAAAATCTCTGTGTCTTGGCAGAGGCTCACACCAGGGATGTGCTGGTATGTTGAATGTCAAGCTCTTTGACATTTGTATGTAATTACAACAGGTGTAGCTCTGTTTACTTGCCGGTTCATTATTACACTTTTTCACTTATTTCGCACTCAGATAACAAAGATGTTTTCTATTGTATGCCAGATACAAGATAGAGTGAGAATTTCAAAATAAAAATAAGAGCAGACATGAAGATTTTAAAATTTCTCTTAGTGTTCTCCCCTAAGGGGCTAAAAGATAAGGAAACGAAGGAAATGAAGGGCGCCTGAGAATCTGACTGAATCTGAAGCTATTTTTGAGTACTTCGATTCACTGACTGCCCAGAAAATAAATAAATAACGATTAGAGTGTACATTTCAGGAAGTGCGCCTTAGGACGTGTCAATGTTTCTATCAGTAAAAATAAAATCACTTAACGTTGCTATGGCCATAGAATTAACATAGATAGCTGCCTTTTCATTTGATAATGTGATTTGAAATTATGCCAATTAAAAAGAAAGAGAAGGAAGTGCAAATGCAGCATTATAGGAATTTATCTGAATATTAATAATAACAGATAATTCAGTTATAGACTCCATTTTCCCATGCAGTCACACTCCATCATTTGAAGAAGGAAATTTACTGAAACAAATTAGAGCTAATTTCCGGTTATGAGCGAGATGCCTCGCTTCTGCTGATGGTGTGGAAGACTCTGAGCTTTATAATCCATTTAAAAATTCCGAGCTGGAATCTTGTATGAAGAATAAATACCCACTTTAGACAGAGGTCCCATGTTTTGAAAAACCTATTCTAAATGCTTTGTTTTTTTCCTTGTGCATCGGTCTTTGTTCGTTTGTCACTTAATGTGCCTCTAGATAGGCTTTGTCAGAGTCATTCATTTTATGTAAGATTCGGAAATGTAGATATAAGTCCATATAGGATATCCTACAGAGCAGGAGATACTGAAGGATGGCAAAGTTCGAACAGTGATGTTGACTTAAAGAAATCGTATGCCCCTTTATTTTCATGATAACTGAGACTATTCAGGTCCACCCCAGTGCTCCTTGCAAAAGGGAGTACACATGTATTTATTGACAGTGAAATGCACATGTCCTCAAGAAATACTGTTGTCATAACTTTTAAAACCAAATATTTCTCAGACCCAGCAAAGTGGCTCACACCTGTAATCCTAGCACTCTGAGACAGGTGGATTGCTTAAGCCCAGGAGTTCGAGACCAGCCTGTGTAATGTAGCAGTAGCCAATCTCTACAAAAAAAAGCCAAGTGTGGCGGTACATGCCTGTGGTTCCAGCTACTTGGGAGACTGAGGCAGGAGGGTCACTTGAGCCCCTAGAGGTGGAGGTTGCACTGAGCCAAGATGTCACCACTATGCTCCAGCTTGGGCAAAGAGGGAGACCCTGTCTCAAAAAAAAAAAAAAAAAATCTCAAACTAATCTTAATACTGTGGGCTGTGGCAGAAAATTTGAGAAGAAAAGTATAGTTTTTGTTGCCATGCAGTTAATGAAATGGAGACTTCCGTCCAATTTAACACTGCAGTTGTTTCTGCCATTTTCATTTTTCATTCATCTTTCTTTCAACAAACGTAATGGCTAATGCATGCAAGGTAGGCAGTGTGCTGGCCATGAGATTACAAAGAAACAGAGCTCCTGCTCTCAATCAGCTTTCATCTCCAGGAGAAGGAAGACAAGTGGTAGTTTATTTCCATGCCATTTGCTAAGGGTGTACTAGAGATAACAGATTGATTTGGGGACACAGAGAAGTATGTTTTGGAGGGGACAAAAAGAGGAGGCACCAGAGCCTTCTTCATCTTCCTCATGAAGGAAGCTACTATTTTCTTAAAATTCAAAGAACTAACAGGTTATTTAAAATTGTTATTAAAAGTTTTATTGTTATCTGATAGTGGAAAAGGTTTTGAATGTCCATTCCCTCAGTAGGTTGAAAGTACACTTCCTAAAATCATGTTCTGTAGTTACCAAAAAGAAAGTGAGTCCAAGAGCAGTTATTCCGGGTCCTTTCTCATGTCTGTGCTCTGCTGATGGTGTGGGGTTGTCACCTCTGAGTGATGGTGCAGACAAATTGGCTGGTTCTAAAGGATCAGTAATACCAGCTGCGTGTCAGCATCTGGTTATAGCTCTTTAAATCACTCTTTCAAATTAAAGTCCTAGATAAACGGTGGGCAGTTTCCAGTCTTTGAGTTCTCCTCAAATTTTATTATATTGTAATATCCTGCCATCAAATATTTCCACTCCTGCAGAGTAATTCAGTATGTCATGGAGTGATATGTTTCCAAGATAAAATATTTCATTTTAAACTAATTATACTTCATTTGCAAACTTATGTTTCCCTGAGATGGACTAATATATATATCTCTGATTCTGGAAATTTCCATCTTCTACCTTGCATTGACAGGACTGAGGAACTGAATTTCCACAATGTAGATATGTTAGTCTCCTTTTTCAATTCTTTTGTTTTCCCCTCTGCTCTGCCAGTGTTGCAGGATAACTCAAAGCTGGAGACATCCCTGTGGGTTATGTAACAGCAGATCTGGGCATAGCTTCCAATCAGTGGTTAGCTCATGACCCTTTCTGTCTCCCGTTTTCAACAAGTAGTGGGACCAGGGGTGGACTCTGACTTCACATGCAGTCCTGCCTGTGTCTTGTCTTTTTCCTTCATTCACATCCACCAGAGATGTTCCTTTTACCCTGACTTAAATGGAATACAACATGGGAAAAGACTGTATGTGGTACATCTCCTAAGCTTGATACAACATCTCTGATGAGCTCTGACATCACACACCCCTAGGAAATTATCTAAACATAAAATGTGCAAATAGGAAAAGCAAGTTGCAGTTCTAGTATGATCTCACATTTGTTTTTTTTTTTAATTATACACATTTAAAATGTATTTATATTTTTATATGTGAGCCATATTGCTAAGTATGATTACCACTGGGCAGTGTGTTTGTGTGGAGGGAAGGGCAATTGTTGGGAGAAATAACATTCATACATTTTTTTATTCATTTGTACTTTAAAAAAAACAATTTCATATTTAAATTTTACTCTGACAATAATGTTATATAAAGAAGACTGGGACTGTTTTTAAAGGAACAACAACCAAAACCCTCATAGGAAAAGACAGGGTCCATCTTGTTACCATACGTGTTGATTAAGAGTATTGCCTCTGGAGCTAGGCTGTGTTCAGCTGAGACTCTGTACCTGTTTTCTCATTGGTAAAATGGGAATAATAATAGCAACCATCTCAATCACAGGGAAGATTAATTGAGTTAATATATGTAAAGCAGAGCAGTGCCTGGCAATTGATAAGTGAGATGTGGTTACTATTATTACTGTTATTAACATACCCTCATTGACTGGGCCCTCTTGGTATGCAGTATTTACATTGTAAGTCTGAGACACCTTGGAGAGCAGATATTACTCTAACAAACCTCTCCATAGTGACAAACATCTTCACAAGGCTTTTGTTTAATGGTAATGTTTTAAAAATGGCTGTATCATTTTGCATATATAAATCAGCCATTTATAGTTTCTATCATGGATGCTTAAATATGATACCCTGCAGAAAATGGAAATAAGTTAGATACTGATCTGTTGTTTCTTGCTGTTATTTTCCAGGACTCAGAAGGAGTAGAAATTATGTTAGGAGTTTGTGCAAGTGGTCTGTTGATATATCGTGACCGGCTGCGAATAAACAGATTTGCCTGGCCCAAGGTTCTAAAGATTTCATATAAACGGAACAACTTTTACATAAAGATCCGGCCAGGAGAGGTAAGTACACCCACACTTGCATGCGCGTTGGGAGGAAAGATCCCTGATAGCAAGCAAAAAGTTAAATTATCTGCTTATGAGTTCTGAGCATTGTGGATCACAGAGAATTACATCTAAGTGCCTGAGAGAATTTATTGTAGGTTTGTCCAATAAACAGTAATAAATAAAATTTTGTCCTCTTTATTATGTTGTTTTATTATTTCCTGCTGTATACATGAATTGAAGGGTTTTTAAAAACATATTTCAATATAAAATCCAGATTCATGAATAATTTTGTGTTTATTTCAAGCAATGAGGGATAAATCTCTTCCTCCACCTCCTGTTGTTATTTTCCATGCCCTATTTGTCCTGCAAATCTGATTCTACTTTAAAGTGAACAGCTTAGAGGTCATGTATTTCAAGGTACAAGGAAGATTAGAACCAAGGACAGCAGTGAGTATGAATTATGTCAATGTTCTATAGCTCAGTATATGCTTGCTTTTTTTTTCATCAGAGAAGCTAATGAAAGAATAGGAATTATGAACTAGTCCTTACTCCTTGGACAGCAGCCTCCATGATCAACTTAGGTTTATATCTTCCTTAGTGACTTGTACATAATAGTAACACATATCTACTCTTATTTACTTAAGAGATAGTTAATTAATAACTCAGATTTCTAATTGATGTGGTTAGATTCTAGCATACTTATATCCCTGAACATTTTCTGATACAATATAGAGTGATCTCATATCTTCAAAATCTACTTCTCCACTGGAATTTCTTGATGGAAAATGCAATTTTAAAAATATCAGAATATCAGCTGGGCATAGTGGCTTATGCCTGTAATCCCAGCACTTTGGGAGGCCAAGAGCACTTTGGCAGGGAGAATTGCCTGGGCCCAGGGCTTTAAGGCTGCAGTGAGCCATTATCACACCACTGTACCCCAGCCTGGGTGATGGAGCAAAGACCCTGTCTCAAAAACAACAAAAAAATGAAGTATAAAGCATGTAATTACGTTTAATCTAAATATAACTTCCTATCTATGGTGACGGAAATAATCTGTAAGCTTTTTATGTAAATACCTCAAATTACAGTGTTTTAAAAATATTTCCTAAAGATTATATGTTAAATTTATAGCCAATAGATAGTCATTTGACTTATTTGAACATTTGTTAAGTGAGCACCTATTTATTGTCAGACATTAGAAATAGAAAGACAAATATGGCTTTGTTCCTTGTTAAGGGATTTTCTATTTAGCAGAAAAACGGACTCATATACTTTGATTTTAACAGCATGATGCAAATGAGATGATATTCTGTAGACATGGAGTGAGCATAGTATTATGAGGGGCCAGAGGGGAAAGCTAGAGAACTGAATCAGTAGACAGTAGTGAGTCATGGGAGGTTTTAAATCAGGATGTGACACACCTAGGCGAATATTTTGGAATGATAGATTTCTTAATGAAATTCAGCTACTTAGAAACCTGATGTGGTAAGACCTAAATTAGGGCAGAGGCTGTGGGAATAGAATGGAAGGAACAAATTCAAGAGAGAAGCTTCAGAGGCAGAAGCAGCAGGTCTTAGAGACAGGAGGGAGGAAGGAATTAAAAGACAAGAGTCCAGGATAATCAAAGGTTTTCGGTTTGCATGATTGAAGCCAATGGAGATGATATTAAGCAGGAGGGAAAAGGGTGAAATTTTCAGAAAAGCAATTGAAATCCCTTTGGGACAGATTTTCAGGGGTGATTCTTGCATAGGAAGGAATTGAACAGAGTTATCAACTGTGTATATTTTATTCAGAGCCTTAGACATGGAATAAATTACTCAAAGAGCAAGGCAAGTTATAGAGAGAAAAGGCCCTAAAACTAGAACTCTGGATAATACCACTATTTGAGAAAGAGCCAAGGAAATGAAGAAATGACAGCCGGAGAAATAAAAGAAGAAACAGACTGATAGATAACCAGGAGATGAGTTTCAGAGGAAAGTGGTTAACTAGCAGTACCGTATGTTACAGAAAGGGCATGCAGGATGCAAACTAATAAAAGTGTGTTGAGCTTTACAATCAGGCCCCATGATGACATTTTAGAGTTCAGAAACGTGTGAGGAGCGTCTTCCAGGATGTGTTGAGGTCAGGAGTGAATAGCAGAGGCAGTAGGTAGTGGCTCCTCCTTCCAGAAGTTTAACAGTGAGGAGTGAGATAGGGTGGTGCTGCTGGCAGAGGCAGGCTCAGAAAAAGCTGGTTTTTCACTCCTCTTCCCTCTGGTTTTACAATACTATTTTTAGCCTGAGAAGAGTGAGTGAGAAAAATTATTGGGGATGCACAGGCTCTGAAAAGATTGAAAGAAATTGACGGAGAAATAGGTATTAATAAACATTCAGGTAACCTAGAAGCCTGCATCATCCTTGCCTACAGAGGTTGGCAGAGACTCTTCCCAGCTTCTTGCAGCAGAGTGCAAGCTGACTCTTCCTTATAAGCCCTGGCATTGGCATATGTGCATATGAGAATAAATGGATGATCGTTTAGTCACGAGCTACACTATGTCTGTCTTCACTGGGTCCCTTGGACAGTAGCGATGTTTACAAACACCACTGCATGTGAACATCCAGAGTGAATAAGAAGTTGGGAAAGGCAGTTGCAGTTGGAGCAATTGTGATGTATTTCCCACTTCCCCAATCATCCTCAGCAAATAAGAAATAGAGGTCAAGCATGATTGTATCTCACATGCTGCGCATATGACCCCTCATCTTGGTTCTTTGCTACATAAATTATTTTTACTATTGATTATAGCAGTAGTTCATTTGTTTGCTCTTTTGGAAAGCCTTTGCTGTTTAAGATGATTGCCCTCTGGTGGTCTGTGTACCTTCTTCAGAATATGAAAACTTGTATGTCTGCAATAATAAAGTATATTATGCAGGAAATGAGATGAGTATTTAACCTCAAAAAATCAAATGGCTGACAAATCATCATCTGAAATGTACATGCTGAAAAATATGAAAGTGTGTTCCCCCAATCTGTGGTCTTAGGCATGATATAGAGAAACATTAGCATTTAAACTGAAAATCCATAATGGAATACACAAATAAAATCAGCAATCTCTGATACCAAGTCATCAACTACCTAAGAAATATATATATTTCCTGACCAGATATTAGGAGAAAAATGTCATTTCTAAGAATACTGTAGACTATATCTGTAAACATTTTGTTCATTTCTGTAACTTCCAGTTGAAGTCATTGTGTCATTGAGAAACCATGAAAAGTTTAAAAGTGCAAAATTGATTTCTGGAAGAAATCAAAAAAACCCTTTTTGTGTTTAGTTTTTAGTTGTATCATAAGATACACACTTAAGACATTTTACTGCATACATAATATGGTTATTTATACCTGCAGCATTTTAAAGGCACATTTTTTTAAAATTAGTGAATGTGTATAGCATGAATTATGCATATAGCAATTGATCTAGTTAGTAAATTTTTAAAATTCTGGTGGCATTATGATTTTATAAGTTATTTACAGGGCTTCTGTTATTCATAATTTTAAACTTTACTCTTCAATGTATTTTTTTTAATTTAGTTTGAACAATTTGAAAGCACCATTGGGTTTAAGCTGCCAAACCATCGAGCGGCCAAGCGTTTATGGAAAGTTTGTGTTGAGCATCATACATTTTTCAGGTAGGAAGAGATTATTTTGATTTTTCCCTAAGGAATAATTATAATCACTTATACTGAAAAAGATTATCAGGAAGAGAAATAAGGAATTTTATCCTTACTATTCCTTCAAGTTCATTCTCACCATATTTCTTGATAAGAAATCCTAACAGAATTAGAAAAAGACTAAATTTGAAGGATTTTCCTTAATTTGTCAAGTACTTACATGTCCCACCTCCCCCACTTCTTATCTTTAGTGTGTTTACATTGTTTTTAGAGTGTCCACTTCAAATAGCCAATCCATTTCTATTTCAATTCCTTACAATTTCAGTGATTTCTCAATACCCTGTCTCTCTTTACTTACCTACACATAGTGTGAGACCCATCAAATTAGACATCCAATAGCAAATTATCACTCTTCTTCACTAATATCGCCTACTTAGTTGCTGTTTGGTCTTATAGAACCATAGACTGTCCACTTTGCATGGAATGTTAAAAGTTCCTCTAGTTTAGTGCAACCCTAATTTTTATATATCCTCTCTACAACATCCCTAGTTGATGTATATCATGTGCATTTTTTTAATGAAATCATATTTATTTAACTGCAAGTTGTGTGTTAAACCTTAAGCACACAAAACACATGAACTCGCAGAGTATAAAGTTTAAAAAGCATTCTCTTTATTGGACTTAGCAGTCTTTCTGCTCTTTTTCTGTATTCTCTCTAGACTGTTGTTACCAGAAGCACCTCCCAAGAAATTCCTAACCTTGGGTTCCAAGTTTCGTTATAGTGGCAGGACACAAGCACAAACGAGAAGAGCCAGTGCGTTGATAGATCGCCCAGCGCCTTACTTTGAGCGCTCGTCCAGCAAACGTTATACCATGTCTCGCAGCTTGGATGGAGGTAGGCATCACTTACTGGCCCTTAATAACCCTAGCAGCTACCCCCAAAAGAGTACGACACTATCATGAGCTTTCAGTAAGCATAGATCCTCCTGGATATTGTACATGGAAAAGCAGTTGTTGCTCATTGGCTGAATGGCAGATATTTAAGACTAATATAATAGTCACATAGTCTGTGATTTGATTTCCTTGCTGACAGATCTTAAAGGATTAGTAGGCTTAAGACTATTTGTTTCATGAATCTGTAAGTTAAATTTATTTGTCTCTAAAAAATTTTATGAATAAAATGTGACCTTTATCAATCAGTTGATAATAGCTGGTAGAAAGGATGGCATGCAAATGACAGAGCAAAGGGCTGTAAGTTAAATTCTCCTGGTTGTGCTAATTACCACTCCAGATGGGCTGGGAGAGCAGTGCTATGTGGGGGTTCTGTACTGCCAAGTCAAATTAGTCAAATGGAGAGATGATCACTCAAACAACCTTTGTATGGGATAACGCAACAGTGAATTTTTAGTAGCGTTTTGTTTTATCAAACAGTTTCTTGATTGCTCTCTGGAGTAATATGAAGGCACGCTTTCTGCAGCAAGGCGTGCCTGCTGTGGCAATACTTGGGGACTATGTCTGGGTCTCTGTCTTCTCATTTAGAGCACCTGGAGATTCACTGTTTTTAATAGAAGATCTTAACCTGTGCAAATAAAAAGAATTAGAAGTTTGTGGTGTGCATGTATGGTTTATATAATAAGGAAAAACATAAATAAAAATAAACAAAAGTTACAAGTGCCTAGGACCATCTCCCTCCCTACCTTTTTTGCCACTGTTCCCGATAGTCTCAGCTCTGCCTTCCCCATTTCACTATCCAGGTGATTGATGGGAAGAGGTGCTCCTTAAATCTCCCAACTAAAACAACCATCTTTTTCTAATGGAATACTTTATGAACAGTTTACAGAAGAAATCAAAATAGCATTATCAGTACTACGTTATGTATGCTACTGGTGAGGTGGGAACTGTACTCATGCGGCATTGGTAAATCCAGACTCAAGTCCAGGTTCTGCCGCCCTCTGTCTCTGTGATGGTTGGCAAATGATTTCAACTCTCCAGGTCTGTTTTAGTCATCTGTGTAATAAGAATAAGGCCTCCTTTGACAGGGCTATTGTGAAAAGCAAGATATATGTGAAAGCGCTCTTGTTACATAGGCAATTATCTCAGTAATCCTATTGATAATTACTCTTTTTTCACAGTTTTAAATATTTCAGTAGCTTTTGGGATACAAGTGGTTGTTGGCTACATGGATGAATTGTATAGTGGTGAAGTCTGAGATTTTACTGCACCTGTCACCTGAGTAGTGTACATTGTACCCAATATGTAGTTTTTTTTTAATCCCTCACCCGTCTCCCACTCTCTGCCTACTGAGTCTCCAGTGTCCATTATATTTCTCTACGTACCTTTGCATACCCATAGCTTAGCTCCCACTTACAAATGAGAACATATGGTATTTGACTTTTCATTCCTGAATTACTTCATGCAGAATAATGACCTTCTGCTCCATGCAAGTCACTGCAAAATACATAATTTCATTCATTTTTATGACTAAGTAGTATTCCATGCTGTACATATTTTCCACATTTTATACTGATAATTATTCTTACAGGCTTTTGTGAGCTAGCCTAGGAAGTTATTACCGTTGTGTGTCTTCTGAGAGTTTCTGGAATACCAAACTTAGAGCCAGCCCTTTTAAGTAAAATAGTTATCAGGACTGTTTCGAGTTGAATTAAGATGTTGAAATATCCCTGTTAACATTGAAGCTTTTCTTTCTGGTTTGTCCTATTGACTCTTCTTTCTCCTTTAGAGCGTCTCTATTACCTATTTCTATATGTTATTGGTATTTGTGGAACTTTGTAGAATCGCACTTTTTTTTCCTGAATATCATCCACTTTGTTCAGTGATGTGCACCCCAGGGAACACATTTGTTGTGAATGTTGTTTGCCTATGACCCTTTGTGTGATGATGACTGCTGAGAAGACAGAAGACAATTGTGAAATCAATATAGTAATGTCATGCTGTCTCTTTCTCCCTGCCCAAAAGTGATGTTAGTATGTGTTGTCTCTCACTCTTTGTGGTCCTGCCAGCTCTAGTATGTTTTCTGCTGCTATTGAGCTGGGTGGCACAGCTGCATGTTGCAACATAAGCTGCTTTTTTGCAGGTTGCATCTTACAGAGCATGGCCTAACTGGTCCATTAGGAAACTGTGTCTCATATGAGCTTTTTCAACAGTATAAAGAGATATAAAATATCTTAGTGAAGATATTTTAGTGACGTAATTTAGCTATCAAAATGATTTCAAAGAGGATTTCATTTCAGAATCCTTTCTTTTATTTACAATTTAAAATTCCTAAAATAATAATGTAGGTTATATTTTGTCTGTGTTTAGTTAATGTGTATTTGAAAAGCAACATTTATAAGTTTTAATAAATTTTATATCTAAAACCGAAAATAATGAATACCAAATTTTAAAATTTAACTCAGTTAAGCATCTTTTCACTAAGACGTTTTAGCTGGGATGAAAGGTGATGTCTTATTCTCTTATGTTCGCATGTTTTGCATTTGCATGAATTTTACTTAGCAACATTTGTTGTGTTTTCCCGAAATATTAGAGATGAATAAATGTATATGCATATTATGGTAGTCTGTTTAAAATGCAGTAGAAATGAAAACATTTCTGTAATTTAGATGAATGGAATTGCCATCTGAATTTTATAATCTCTACCAAGATGGTTAATTTTTATTATTATTCATGGAGCTTTTATATTGTAAGAGTGATAGGATTTCAACATTAATAATCATAATGTGAAAACCAATTCAGTGCTTCTTGGTGAATGGCACTTCCTAAGGGCCAAGTGTATGAGAGCAATTGTGTACTGCAGACACTGCTGTTAGGTGTGGAGTTGGCTACTACGAGACAGTAGTGCCAGTGCCAGCCAGTGACTCCAGGGAATAACAGGCCCAGTGGCAGCTTAGCCTCGTGACCCTTCACTCACCCCCACCCTTACACACATCCTCGCCAGAGAGCCTGAGGGTGGATGAAATTTTAAGACATGAGCATTTCAAGAATTTTAAAGCACTAGTATTATAGGAAATACGGGAAAGTCATGCTTCCAAGAGGTCCCTGCAGCACTGATTTGTTTTTTCAAGACTAAGCTAGTATTTTGTGATGGTATTTTGTTGGTGGTGTTCATCTGTCTTCTGACTTAACTATTTTGGATTTTATTTCTTCAATTGTATTTGCTTTTAGCATCAGTGAATGAAAACCATGAAATATACATGAAGGATTCTATGTCTGCTGCAGAGGTTGGTACTGGCCAGTACGCCACAACAAAAGGCATCTCTCAGACCAACTTGATCACCACTGTGACTCCGGAGAAGAAGACCGAGGAGGAACGAGACGAGGAAGAGGATAAACGGAGGAAGGGGGAAGAAGTCACGCCCGTCTCGGCCATCCGGCACGAGGGAAAGGTATAGCTCCCAGACTGCCAGCTAGAGCTTGCTCCAGCTTTTGAGAATGACTAAATGATGAGGCTGTAAACTAGGAATGTGCTCAGATTTAGGGTAAATCATATGTCAGCTCTGGTCACATTCATATGTCATTTTTAAATTATGATTCCTTTTTCAACATTTTCCTCTGAAAGATTCATTCATAGCTCTTTGAAAATTTTTATTTTAACAACTTATGTGCTATGTAAGACTTTCAATAGCTGTCCTGTATGTGTATCTTAAAATACTTTTGGTGGCATATTACACTTTTCTGTTTGGGCTCACATTTCAGAACTGTCAGTAAAGCTGTTTTCTTTGTTTCTGGCCCTATTCTCCTACCCAAGTACAGCATATTTTCTAGATATGCAGTTATCATATTGCCATTCTTCTGACTAGAAGTACATGGAGTGACCACAGCCTGTATGTTTATACCTACAGTCTAATCAGCAGAGTAGTGACTAGCCATGTTTTGAAAAGGTATCTTAAGGCAGAAAGTTGCAACAGAAGATAAAAAGTGAATTTGGCAGCACAGTTTCTTCTTTCAGTGTATCATTCATTAAACTTTGTAACATCATCTCACCACAAATTAAATACCTTTTTTAACATAATTTTTAAACACTATGTTTATTTCTTGTGGTCCAGCAGTATAAAGCAGCTTTTCAGAAAAATTATTTAAAATTCAAAAAACACTTCAGGAGGTTTATACCTAATAATAATGGAAAAGCAGTGTACAGAGCGTAGAGTAAGTGGAAATGGCAGAATGAAAATGCTTTAACAACCCATGGGTTATCCTAGAACTTGAGTAAATTTGATTCACAAATGCTCTTTTGTGCATAGGCTCTTCCAATGGAAATGGAGAATCATTACCTCAGATTCTATGGAAAGTGTTCTTTTTTGACAAGAATTTAGCAGGGACATCTTAATATAGACAAATAATTTTTGTAGTTATGTTAAAATATTACAAATGACCAATCCATCATCTTTTATTTTTTAAGATAAGATCATTTATTTGGCAAACACAAATATAAGTACAGAGTAGGAAATCCAATGGCAGGGATATTTTGATAACTTTTGCTGTTAAAATGTGCTTCATTCTAAATTTTGTTTTTACACCCTTCCTGTCTGTTTAGTCGAGGAAGGCTTTAAAGAGAACAGAAAATAAGATAATCCTCCGAACAAATACGTGGTTCTTCCACTTAGTTATCCTAACATTTTGTAAAATTGCCATGCCAACACATGACTGCCATGGGTATATAAATATGAAGAAGTGACACATCAAAGTAAATGATTTTCAGTTTTGCTCCCAAGATAAGGCCAGGCATTTTCACTTTATTTGATTTTAAAAGACCACCAGTTTGTTCATTTAAAATGTAGCACTAAGCTGTCCTCCCTTGCTGCCATTTGTGACATGGGAAAATAAAGGACACTGCCAGCCTCATGGTCTGAGTCTCTGAGAAGCCTGCATTCTGGGCATAATGTCTTCAGGAAGTCTGTAGCTGAAATGTGGTGCTGGTATAGCTGTGGGCTGGCTTGGTTTCCCCAGTGCAAATCTGTCTTTTAAAAATGACTTTAATAATCGGCATGAAAGGTTAAACCTTAATGTTCTCCTTCTCTATCTTCAAAAAGTAACATAGAGGGTACTTATCGTTCAACCAAAATGAAAGTGTATTACTGAAAATAGTTCTTGAAAGGCTGGTTCCCTAGGTTGCCTGGGAAGGAGGCACGTTTCCCAGGCAGGGATTCCCTGAGTCATGGGCCACCTCACCTCCTTGCTGGAGGACAGTTGTCTTCATGCAGAAGTTAGCCTATAACACCTACATTATTCTTAGTTGAATGAGATTTTTGCAGGTTCCTGTTTAAAGGGCAGTGTTTAACGTCAAAAGTGAGTGTGTGGGAAAAGACATACTTGTCTCATAGTAAAAACAGACCCCTCAAATGGCAAAAGGCTATGATTTTATTTGTGTGTTTTCTTTCCCTCATGCCTCCGATGTAATTTTATTTGTATATTTTCTTTCTGCCTGTTGCTATATTTACCACTTCTCCCCAAGTCAAGATTGGATAACCATACAAGGCAGGCTGGGTAATTTCTCTGCTGTCAGATTAATGGGCAAAACACACACACACACACACACGCACACACACGCAGTGATAAAGACAGCAGCAGGAGTCTAATTACCTGTAGGATTGGACTTCCTGGCCTGCAGCAGCTCCTGTCCCATCCCAGGTCCTGCTTGGGGCTTGCGTGCTTTCCTTCCTCCCCTTCTTGTCAGACAGCCCCTCCGCCACTTGCAGAAGAAACTGGCCATGGTGGTCCTCGAGACTCCCAGGACCCAGAGAGGAGGGGAAGTAGACTCACTTGCCCCATAAAAGCTTGAGCTCACCAGGGGAGCACTTGTGGAAAAGCCTGCATTCATCATTGTATTAAGGACTCAAAGATCTAAACACGCCCTTTATCTGCTAAGAAAAATTAGAAGGCTGGGGAATGATATCTTTCTATTATTATGCATCATAAATAATAGAAACTAAACACTGACAAAGCATATTACAAGAAAACACATTGTTTTTGCTAGTTTGTTGAAAACACTTGACGTTCTATTGACATCTTAAATAAAGGAGACAAAATGGAGTTTTCAAGGGAACTTCAGTTCTTTGTGAGGAGACAGATATTCAGGAATGCTAAGTGTCGAATCCTTGATTGTAACTACTTATCAGATAGGAGTGGGGCCAGAAACGTCTTGATTTGGAATGTAAACTCCTTGTTTTTCATGTCATTGAATAACCAAGGAAAGGATGAATGCTAGAGATTTTTTTTTTTTAATCAAAGTCTGGATTGGATTTCATCTTCATTTTTAATCCAGCTGAACTATAATAACAGCTCTGCTACCTGGAGATCAGGAGAAGGTTATTGAAAGTCTTGATTTTAAGTTATCAGATTTATTTGTTTGCTCCCCAAAACCTGAAGCTTTCTAGAGTTGTTGGTCTATAATGAAATTTTTTCACCATGTGAAATGTGCAAACTTTGGGATTTCCCACAAATACCTTCTTTTAAAGAATTCCACCTGGTATGTGATGGTCTAATGGGAGAAATGTGGCCATTCATGGCAACATTGGCATGCAGCTTGAATGCTTTCAAATTCTTGAGCAACCCTAGTGCTAAAATTTTTGTTTTACAAGTTTATATTGATACCCATAAGAAAATTAACTAATTGCAGTTTTCTTTTTGTCCTTTTGCACCTCTGTTTGCTGCTTTCTGTCTCTCTCTGTTTCTTTCACATCAGTCACCTGGGCTTGGCACTGACTCATGTCCCTTGTCACCCCCATCTGCCCATTGTGCCCCCATATCTCCCACAGATCTCCGTAGGAGGTGTAAGGAGAATGACTGCAAACTGCCAGGTTGTGAGCCATCCAGAGCTGAGCACATGCCTGGAGAGCCCACCTTGGACTCTGATGGGCCAGGGAGGCCTTACCTAGGGGATCAAGATGTGGCCTTTAGCTACAGACAGCAAACTGGCAAGGGGACTACCCTGTTCTCCTTCTCCTTGCAGCTCCCCGAGTCATTCCCCTCCCTCCTAGACGATGATGGGTACCTCTCTTTCCCCAACCTTTCTGAAACCAACCTCCTGCCCCAGAGCTTGCAGCATTACCTTCCGATCCGCTCACCGTCCCTCGTGCCCTGTTTCCTCTTCATCTTTTTCTTTCTGCTGTCTGCCTCCTTCTCAGTGCCATACGCTCTCACTCTCTCCTTCCCTCTGGCTCTGTGCCTCTGCTACCTGGAGCCCAAGGCGGCCTCCTTGAGCGCCTCCCTAGACAATGACCCGAGTGACAGTTCAGAGGAAGAGGTGTGTACCTCGGCATAGAACACGCCTCCCCTTCGTGTTCCGTGCTTCAGTCCGAAACAGTGTTAGCCGGCTGCTGACATAGTGGTCCTACTTTCAGAGCCTCATTTATTGTCTGTGCCAATATGTTGAGGTTTCTGTGTGTTGGGGAGTCCAACCTGGGCCCCAGGGTTAGGCACAACACCATGTGGATGTAGCAGTCTGAGCCCAACCTGGAATCGTTCTGCTACCCACTGAGTTCTACGTGGGATGAAAGACTCAGCCAGAAGTCAATTTCATATAACTGGTTAGCTGTGTAAAAGATCAGGGCTAAGCTAAAGGTTCTGATCAGTTATTGCTTAATAAAGTAAATCACATATAAGCCAGATGAGTAGTTTTCAACTTAATGATAGTCAAGCAGAAGTGGAAGAGTGCATCCCCAGAGGGGATGTATCATCATCATCTGGGTAGCTTTCTAAAATTGCAAAGGTATCTCCTCCCTGGAGATCCTAAAATGTCCCCATTGCCCTCTGATCATCATTGCCAGACGGTCGATCCCGCATTGTGTTGGGTCAAGACAGTTTAAAGCACCAGACTGATGAGTCATTGGTGAGGGCAGCAACAGGCCCAGAAGCAACTGCATACAGGGCAGCAGTGTACAGACACAATCAGAAAACAACAAAACTGAAGTTTTCAAACATTATAAAGACAGGCTGAAATTTCACCAGTGCTAGCAATGTCAATGCAGATAACATGACAGAGATTCTTTAAACTGCAGCATGAGCCTCAAAATCCCCCCATTTTCACAGTGTGGTAAGGCTGGGCCTCTGTGGCTGCCAGCCAGATATGAACATGGTAGGGGAAAGACCCTGAACCATCCACCTCCATCCTTGAAGGCATGCTACTACAGGGCAGGCTCCTATCCCCCACTTGAGCAATTGGGCGAGTTGACATGGTAGCCAGGAGTTTTTCTCTGTTAATTGCTCTCCTTTCCCACCACTCTACAGCCCTGTGAACAGCCCTGCAGCTTCTCTTTCTCCAGCCTTCAAATAAAGTGCGGGGAAGAATAATAGAAGCTGCCACCAGAGGTCCCGGCTGCTGTCATGCAGGCCCCTGCCCACCTCTCCCCAGGCTCCCTGCAGCCTTCCTGTTTCCACAGAACAAGAGCTGTTGTGATAGGAGAAAAGCAAAATACTCCTAGCATTTTTTCAAAAAGTCACAAAATCAAGGCAATGCTAAAAAAAGAAAGAAAGTCTAATTCTGTGCTCAGCTAGAAGGTCATAATTTGAGCTGCACCTGTGAGTATATAGTATTATATTTTGAGGGTGTGTGAGTATCTATATTTAGTAGAATTATGACCATTTCTTTGCAGCAGAAGGGAAAAATGTGAATGATCTCACAGGTGTTTTAAATAAAAGCCTACACTTTTAATAGATTTTGCATATGATTCATTTCCAAGGTTCTTGAGCTATATGTAACAATTTGCTCCAACTTCCATATAAATAACTTTTTATACATGGAAAATATTTTGAGAACTACTTGACATCCTAAGCTTTAATATCACTATTTCTCATACTGACAATATTATCAAATAGTGTTGGACTAGAACATATTACAGTTAAGAACACACTATTGTCTACAAAGACTGGTTATCAGCTGATTTCTAACATGGAGATATATTTTTCATCAAGCTAACATAAAGCAAAAAAGATTGCTGTTTTATGCTTTTCTAAATTTGAAATAAACATTTGAACTTTTATATAGCAAACCACACAGATCTTGTGCCTAATCCAGGGTATACATCTTGTTGTAATCAGTGCATGAGAATTAATGTTAAACTTGGGCATGTCTGCATTACATTGGCAAAACAAATCACAGCAGTTAATTGTTAACAAGCTAGCGAACGTGTGATTGGAGCTTCCCAGTCATAACTCTCCTTGTTATTGCAAACCTCTGAAACCATGAATTAGCACTGACCACTGGAATCTTCATCATCCTTCTCTGTAGCCCTAGTTAGCCTATATGAAAGCTGATCTGCCATATATGATCTGCCACCAGACTCTGTTACTGGCCATCTGTTCAGTGTTGTCTCTTAACCCCAAGTGTTAAGAGCTGTGCATTCTAGTTGAGGCCGAGCTGGAGAACTCATATTTAGGTCATTCCAGTTTGTTTTCTTTTCTTTTGTTTAAATCGCCATTTGCTTACATGGCCTGATTTAATGTGTAGGCCTCAAGCACTGTGGCAGCTACACTGGGTAACTTTTTAACGTACAGTTCAGCTCTGTCACTTTGGTTTTGCCAAGTCACCAGTAATTAATTCTTTTTAAATATTGTATCATCATTGCTTACATTTTTTACATGTTATACTGGCTTATTTCCAGTCTCAAGAGTGAAATCCAGTGTAAAAAGGCTTCATCATTTCACATTATAAAGCTGTTGGCCAGTTATGTTTTTTTCTTTTGTACTATCAGAATGGTCAGATAAGAAGGGATAGGATACCAAAATATCCTATCAAGAAACATGAGATGAACTTAACCTCCCCAAACCACAAAATGAAATTACATGTCTGTTTCTGAGTAATGTTTTTGATAATACAAAGAAAAAGATGAATTCAAATCAACAGGGAGAAAAATTAATTAACTGATTTACAACATTTTAAATTATATAAACCGTATTATATGATAGTTATGATATGCTATACATTTGCAGTTTTATATAGTCATCATACATTATAGAAATGCCAGTTGCTATAAAAACTGCTTTATTCAGCCTTATTCATTTATTGACTGTTGATCAGGCACTATACTACTGACTGACTGACTAAATCCTAAGTAGGAATTCAAGAAGTTTTAGATATGGACTATGCTATTTATGTATGGCTAATAAAAAATGAATAATTATGTGATTATTATAGGCACTTTTTTTAGCTCTGTGTGTATCAGGCATTATATAAATCACTTAGTATCTATTACCCAATATAGTTAGGGCTGTTATTTTTCCCATTTTATGGGAAAGAAACTGGGATTAAATTATAAAAAGTACCCTATATGTCACAAGTTTGAACAGCAAGGATTTGAGCTCATGTTCATCTGACATTAAACCTTCCCCTCTTAACAACCACTGTCCTCTAATGCTAAGATGCTTGCAAGTTACTGAAGTAAATTTTAAAACCATAAGGGAAATAAGCTAGATAGGAGGAGAAACACTTTTAAGAATTTTAGAAGTGTTTGATACAACTAATTAGAACACTAAGTGTAAGTTATTATGGCTAGGCACAGTGGCTTAACGCCTGTAATCCCAACACTTTGGGAGGCTGAGGCAGGCAGATCACTTAAGGTGAGGAGTTTGAGACCAGCCTAGCCAACATGGTGAAAACCTGTCTCTACTAAAGGTACAAAAATAAGCCAGGCATGGTGGCATGCACCTATAGTCCCAGATACTAGGGAGACTGAAGCACAAGATTCACTTGAACCCAGGAGGTGCAGGAGGATGCAGTGAGCCAGGATTGCTCCACTGCACTCCAGCCTGGGTGAACAGAGTAAGACCATGTCTAAAAAACTGAAACACTAAGTGCAAGCCATTCTTATTTATTCTTGAAAGCCTACAATCTTTGAGTTATTCTGTATACCTGAACAAATAACCAGTCTATCTTACTAATTCATACTGGCCTTTCCCAGAGCTGTCACTCGGTACAGCTATACTAAATGCCATAGCAACAATCACCCTCCTAAGAAAATTAACAGTCACCTCCTGATCCCAGTTTTAACCAGGCCAGTCAGGTTGTGAAAATGTGTCACCATGCTTTCCTTACCTACCTACAGAGAATTATTTTCCACTTAGACTTGGTAGCAAGGGTGCTAGAATGGTGTCCTCAGGGACATGTGCTGAGTGTGTGTTGAGCCTCCTTTTCTTTTAGGAGTATATAACATGAAACATGCGGCTAGTGCCAAGAAATTGGCATAGCCAGAGTTATGTCAATGGAAGCAACACTGTCCCAGTTGTACTTTCTTGACATTCCTTCTTCTTTATAGTGGGAGGTTATTTTAAGAACCAGATTCACCATCATAGACTCCCCTCCTGTTTTGATTTTTGTTTTCAAAATATTAATCACAAATATTTGATCAGGGAAAGTTTATTAATGGTTAGTTGATATCTGTGGAGGGAAAATCAATTAATATTAAGGCATTTAGATGTCCCTGGCTCTACTCTACTCGAGAGAAAACAGTTTTCATTTGAAGTCATAAACCCCTGTGAAATAGATTAAAAACCAGTCCTGAAATTGCTGTTCTTATTCTTCCCAAAACCTAGGCTCTGTCAAATGCTGTGCTTTGTTTTATTTGTTTCCAAGTAGATGTTTCTCTCTTTCTCTCTCTCTGTCTATTGTTTTAAAAATTCTTATTATTATTTGCTTCATTTGAATGGTATTTTTGGAGCAAGATGTTTCAGTACATACTTAATATACTTCTTTATATTGGAGGGTGGGGCAAAATAAACTTAACATATAGTCTTAAAAAATATCTAGTTAGCAATGCTACTTGAGTTACCTTTTTCCCACAAAAAATATATGCCTGTGAGTCACTGGCATGTGCCTTTTATAACTGACAGGTAATGCAGACAGCCTGTTGTCCTTAGATGGATATAAATTTTCATAATGATATAAATTGAGGGGCTGAAAGTCCAGTGACTGTTGCAGTAGCTTTTTCTGTAAATTGACATTTTCATTTACCTTTCAAATATGAAATATTACTAGAATAGAATATATATAAGCATCAGTTTTATTTGCATTGAACATTTTAAGGAGATCTTGCTTGGGATTTTTAGTTAAAAGTTGGAGCGGGGGTTTGGGGATGACAAATTGGTTTTCCTGAGACATAGAACCAGACAGGTCAGTGTGGCTCCCCAGCTCCTGCAGGCTGGACCTGCCTCAGGTCTTCCTATGAGTTGGCTCTGTGATGACACCTAGCTCTGGCCCTTCTGTTGCTTTGCTTGAACTTGTGTTTTTGTGGAAGGGTAGTATGACACAGATCACAGAGAAAGAAAATGACCTGTCTGACCCGTGCCAGACCGCATTTGACCAGATGGTTTACTTTCTGTCCCTGCCTTCCTCCTGGAACCTGATCACTTCTGTGGTCAATAGACTGACAGTGAGCGCACGGACACCGCAGCCGATGGGGAGACCACCGCTACTGAGGTTGGTATCATGGCTGAGAGTGGCTGGTAGTTGCCTACCGAAAATGCCTTGTGGGGTGGCTCTATGTTTAAGAACTCAACATGCGTGCCTGTAATCCCAGCTACTTAGGAGGCTGAGGCAAGAGAATTGCCTGAACCCAGGAGGCGGAGATTGCGGTGAGCCGAGATCGCGCCATTGCACTCCAGCCTGGGTAACAAGACCGAAACTCCGTCTCAAAAAAAAAAAAAAAAAGAACTCAACATATAAGCTATTGTAATGGAGATCAGTTCTACCTTTAACAGTAGGAGTTAAATATATATTTTGTTGTCTAGATCAGTGGTTCTTAAACTCTGGCCTACATCAGAATTACCTGGAGATTCCAGCCACATGTTTCTCGTTTAGAAAGGCTGGGGTGGACTTGAGAAGTTATATTTCTAACAAGTTTTCAGGCAATATTGACTCTGCACATATTTGGAGAACCACTTGCCTAAATTGATAATATATTTTTTTAGGAAAAATTATCCCAAATGAGAAGCTACAAATGTATAATAGAATGAATGGAAAGAAGGTCACAATAATTTAACTAACATATTGGCTGGATACAGAAATATTTTTAATTCCCCAATGGTGACATAATTCTTGTTAAAATAAGATTTACCTTACTCATTTTTGTAGCCTTTGGCTATAGCCTCAGTCACTCATAAGAAATGAATTTTTAAATTACTGTTAGTACTCTCTTTTTAAAAAACATAATCACATTAAGCAATGATAGAAAATGTATTGTTATTTCTCCTTTATTAATTGTTTAGGGTAAAATGTGTTTATGTGTGTGTGTGTCTGTATGTAGCTTATATTGTTTTTGAAATCTATGTGTAGTTACAATTTCTGTAAAAACAATATCTGTACTATTGGAAGTCAAGATGTTTATCAATTTTAATTTTGCTAGGTTTTACTAGCAAATTTTAGTTTTTACTTTGTAATAATGTTTATTTTAGGATATTTTAATGTTATTTTTTGTATCATCCAATTATAATAATATTTTCTAGTTGGGTATTTAGAAAAAGACTAAAAATGTTGTAAATGGTATCTGTATATCACTTAATTGAAAATATCTTCAAAAAATGTATTTCATGATGACATTTTATTAGGTTTCTTTCTTAGAAATGCCAGAGTTCAGTCCAAAGCTGGAAAATCATAAGTTTTTAATATTAAAGTTAATATTATAAAATAATATTTTACAAAATATTGTAAAAAGAATTATCCAGATTCTTTTACGGAAAATCATATATAAATCTATTACAAGTAAGTAATTCTCTTTGCCAGATATAACAAAGCTACACCTTGATTTTATAAGAGTTAGTTACATGTAGCTACAGGGTATACATCCAGTAAATTTCACTGGAATCTTAACGTGTGCTATAAATGCAAAATATTTTAATAATAATACCTTAAACTTCTACAGTAGTTTTAAAATGTGTTATATAACATTTAAACATAGGTAGCTTATGAAGCTTGAAAATAACATAGGTAGCTTATGAAGCTTAAATGTTATATAACATTTAAACATAGGTAGCTTATGAAGCTTGAAAATAACATAGGTAGCTTATGAAGCTTGAAAATAAAGTGAAGAAGTTGGGCATGGTGGTTCATGCCTGTAATCCCAGCACTTTGGGAGGCCGAGGTGGGTGGATCGTGAGGTCAGGAATTTGAGACCAGCCTGGCCAACATGGTGTAACCGTGTCTCTACTAAAGATACAAAAAACTAGCCGGGCGTGGCGGTGCATGCCTGTAATCCCAGCTACTCAGGAGGCTAAGGCAGGAGAATCACTGAACCTGGGAGGCAGAGGTTGTGGTGAGCTGAAATTGTGCCATCATACTCCAGCCTGGGCAACAGAGTGAGACTCTGCCTCAAAAAACTAAGTAAAATAAATTTTAAAAGTAAAATAAAATGAACTGTGAATGCCCCCATGCACTGAAGAAGCAGCATGTCACCAGCATAGTGGCACTATATTTAAAGTTTCCTGTATGCCCCGTGATACTGATGAAACTCTTTCCCTTCTGTAGGTGGCCAGCACAGCAATGGTCAGTGTAGGACATGCAGAGTAAGCAATCTTGTCCCCATTGGCAAATGAGAAGAGGGAGACCTAGGTAGACTAAATGATTTTCTTAAGGCCTCTGACTTGGTGTGATCTTCTTCTCACCTATAATTTCATTCTGGGTCTCCTCTTGTAGCACAAGGGCATAAACCCTCGGCCCTGAGTCCAAGAGCCGTAATGAGAAGCATAGCTTCGCTGCTGCATGCACGTTTGGCTTGGCCTGCCTACTAATTACTGATACGCAGACACCAGTCCAGGGATTCAACCAGTCCTTGAAATTAGAAAAACCGGGAGAATGAAGTGGCTTTGGAATAACTATATTTTCGAATCTCAAAAATTGTCTTGTCTAAAACCTTTTAAAGAAATCATGGTGTTGTTGATAGTAGTTTATTTTTCTTTTAAAAAAAAAAAACATTTTTACTTTCCCCGTATTAGCCTTCTATCCCTGAATTTGTTCTTAAGTATATACATTCTAGAAAATTGGCTGGACAAGGTGGCTAACTCCTGTAATTCCACCACTTTGGGAGGCCAAGGTGGACAGATCACTTGAGGTCAGGAGTTCAAGACTAGCCTGGCGAACATGGTGAAACCCCGTCTCTACTAAAAATAAAAAAATTTGCCAGGCCTGGTGGTGGGCACCTGTAATCCCAGCTATTTTGGAGGCTGAGGGAGGAGAATTGCTTGAACCCAGGGAGCAGAGGTTGCAGTGAGCTGAGATCACACCATTGCACTCCAGCCGTGATGACAGATCGAGACTCCGTCTAAAAAAAAAAAAAAGGAAAATCAAGGTCTCAAGAAACTTTAAAATGTGGGAACCTCTGTGTGAAATTCTTTTTTTTTTTTAGGACAGAGTCCTGCTCTGTCACCCATGCTGGAGTGCAGTGGCACAATCTTGGCTCACTGCAACCTCCACTTCCTGGGTTCTAGCAATTTCCCTGCCTCAGACTCCTAAGTAGCTGGGACTACAGGCACATGTAACTATGCCCAGCTAATTTTTTGTATTTTAGTAGAGATGGGGTTTCACTATGTGGCTCAGGCTGAGCATGGGTTCTCTGGTCTACAAATTGGGAATCCTAATCACTAACCCCATAGGGCAAGATTCATATACTACACAGAAGCCCTCATTATTGTGTCATCATGGCTATTTTTACAATTTTCAATTTTAATTTTAATCTGGCTCCCCTAACTTCCTGAACTATTTCTAATGTCTATCAAGAACAACCTGCTATACCCTTGCTGTCACCTTCTCAGCCACATGTGTCTGCTGGTCAAAATGCCAAAGACCCACTAGGCAAGAACTCTTTCACTCCTGTATTCTTATTAAGCTCCTAATTGTGTGTGAGAATGTTGTGGTTTGTGTATAAGAAAGAAGTGGCATCCATATGCAAGAGCATACATTTAGCAAGTCTATATAGACCGTAGTTCTTCAATCTTAGAGTAAATTGCATGTAAGACTTTATTTCCCACTCTTTCTTGATGCTGGCAGTCGGACCAGGAGGAAGATGCAGAGCTCAAGGCACAGGTAGAAAATTAAAAATAAAACAAAAACAAAAAAACCAGTGTGTGATAAGTCATTGTTGGTCTACAGCATTCAGACCTTTCAGCATGCTCTGTAGCTGGTTACCATGTTGTTGGTGCATTGTGTAGGTTGGCATTTGTTCCCTTGACAACTGTGTCCCTTACTTTTCCCTTTCTTCTCCACTTTTTTCAGAATAGTCTGATTAAACGAATAAAGGGTGAAAATGTGTATGTCAAACATAGTAATCTTATGTTAGAGGTTGGTATTGGTACATACCAGTGCATGTTTGTGTGTGTTGTTTTTCTTTTGGTGGAATACCTGTGGGCTTGTACTGTGATGCATGAACTGTGTGCTCACCTGTTCATAAGTGGGGATGACTTCTCAGCTTCTGATTCCTTATTCTCTCCTAGATATAGATCCCTTTTTCTCTGTGTATATTTATTTTAGTTCTCTCAGGTTACATGTGAATTGTACTCTTTATAGTTTACCTTCTAAAATTCTTTTGGTATTCATGTTTGTGTGAACGAGACTTTTTTTTCTCTTTCCTTTCCATGGGAAAATCACATTTTCACCAGAGTGTTTGTGGTAATGCCATGAGCCTTGATTAAAATGTATTTTATTTTGACTACTAATAAGATTAACATTATTTTAAAAAACAAACAGAAGAGCTGAAAGGAACACAAATGTAAAACGTTGACTGTTGGATACTATATGTTCTGAATATAGGAGCTAGAAAAAACTCAAGATGATCTGATGAAACATCAAACCAACATTAGTGAGCTGAAAAGAACCTTCTTAGAAACCTCAACAGACACTGCTGTCACGAATGAATGGGAGAAGAGGCTTTCCACGTCCCCCGTGAGACTGGCCGCCAGGCAGGAGGATGCCCCCATGATCGAACCACTTGTTCCTGAAGAGGTCAGTAGTCAGGCTTGTGGTCGGAACACCTTCTGTTCACTAGCCTCCCTTCTCTCCAGGGTGTGGAATTGCATTTGACAAGCTTCTGAGTAGAAAATCTCTCTTATCTATGTTTAACCTGAACTGAGACGCTCAGTGCTCCAAAGGAAAACTGCAAAGGGAAATGATTAAAGTGGCTGAGGAGTGAATAACATCAGATGCTTCTTAGGGCAGGAAGTCACAGGGAGACTACAGTAAAAATCAGCTGATTCTGACCATAAACCTAGATTTTATAGCTGAGACAAATCAAGGTATTCTCTTCGTAAACTGACACTTTTTCTACATATGCTTGCTTCTTTCGCATTGAAAAACATTCTGCAGACTTGTTCTCATCAATTGCAAGATGAGGCCTGTTGAGATTGATTAAATGGTAACAAAGTTGATAGCATTTCAGGACCATTTTACTCTGAGATATTATATGCCAGGTTTTTATTGATATAACGAGTATTTGATTTTTATTTATAACTGATTTATAATAAGTTTTTTATTTTTTGTTTTTGAGACACAGTCTTGCTCTTTTGCCCAGGCTGAAGTGCAGTGGGGTGATCTTATCTCACTGCAGCCTCTGCTTCTCAGATTCAAGTGATTCTCCTGCCTTGGCCTCCCAAGTAGCTGAGACTACAGGCACTCACCACCACACTGGCTAATTCTTGTATTTTTAATAGAGACGGGATTTCGCCATGTTGGCCAGGCTGGTACCAAACTCCAGACCTTAAGTGATCCACCAACCTCAGCCTCCCAAAGTGCTGGGATTACAGACATGAGCCATCACACCTGACCAAATTTATAAAAAAATTTTTAGTAGATGTTTTATGGGGAGAAAGTAGTGGCCAGAAATTTTTTTTTAAGTAAGGTTATTTCACACTCTGGCTATCCATTTAAAGAGATTTTTTGGTTTTTTGAGACAGAGTGTTTTGTTTTGTTTTGAGACAGAGTCTCACTCTGTCACCCAGGCTGGAGCACAGTGGTGTGATCTCGGCTCACTACAACCTCTGCCTCCTGGGTTTAAGCAATTCTCCTGCATCAGCCTCCTGAGTATTTGGAACTATTAGTGCCACAATGCCCAACTAATTTTTTTTGTATTTTTAATAGGGGCAAGATTTCTTTTTTTTTTTTTTGAGACTGAGTTTTGCTCTTGTTACCCAGGCTGGAGTGCAATGGCATGATCTCGGCTCATCGCAACCTCCGCCTCCTGGGTTCAAACAATTCTCCTGCCTCAGCCTCGCAAGTAGCTGGGACTACAGGTGTGTGCCACCATGCCCAGCTAATTTTTATATTTTTAGTAGAGACGGGGTTCACCATGTTGACCAGGATGGTCTCGATCTCTTGACCTCGTGATCCACCCGCCTCGGCCTTCCAAAGTGCTGGGATTACAGGCATGAGCCACTGCACCCGGCCCTAGAGGCAAGATTTCAACATGTTGGTCAGTTTGGTCTCAAACTCCTGACCTTAAATGATCTGCCTGCCTTGCCTCCCAAGGAAACTCTTTTTAAATGTACAGCCAAAGAGTATGAGGATTCAGCTGGTGTTACTTCAGAGCTCCCATTATGTGGGAACCAAAAATTACTATAGTGCTAATTTAACTACCTACTGTTAGACATCATGCTGCTTTATCTCTGTTTCAAAAGAAGGAGTTTTTGAAAACTGCATCTTTTTTAGCATTATATTGATTAACCTCCTTTTCTGTAACACTCCTTTATTGGGAAATATTTGTTCAGGAAGCTGGCACAGAAGAGAACCTTAAAACTTAGGCTTTGGTGGAGAAAAATTCTCTAAACAGTGGTCTGCATGCAGTGCTTAAGTCCTTGCAGTAAAAAGAATAATTGAATTGCACTTATTGTTGATCAAGTTCTAAACCTCCTTTGAAAGCTATTTATCAAAAGTAACCAAGAACTCATTATCACTATGTTCATGACAATTCCAAACCTAGCTAAAAAGGGAATAGGTCTATATCCATTTGAATTACTTTTAAAAGGACACTTTTTATGCAGAATAAATGGAAAGTACAATTACCAACATATTCTTGTACCATTAAACTCCAATTCCATTCAAACTGCTGAGTTTCAAGAGATAAATTTCACATTCAGATTGATTTAAATGTAATAGTCCTTACAATATTAAGTTATGCTCTCATAAATTTAATTGTAATTGGTTAAGTTTGGCTTACCCTATTTCTACTAACTCTTTCGGAAATAATTTACTGGCTCTAAAGATATCAGATACTGAATTAAGTTGCAAAAACACAGACCACATAGCCACCCCAAACACAACAAAGCAGAGCCTCTCTCCTCATGCTGCTATTTCAGAAAATGCTAAATGGTAGCCGCTTTGAATGAAAGTTGAGGGAACAACTTAGAGAATTTAAAGGGTGGTGCTAATAAACAAGGGAACTTCATGAGTCTAGGCCATTAGACTAGTAAGATAATTTGTTTTACATCTATTAAATTCTAGATATTTGAGAATTAACATTTGATAAGCCCCAAAGACATTAATAATTTATGGAGTATTTTGAATATACTGAACTTTCCCTGGATATTAATGCTTTTTCTGTGTTAGTGCAGAAAAACTGGAGAAGGCTAAGAAAGGATTTTTTTTCAACATAATTAAGGAAGAAAAACATACCCTCTGCAGAACAGCAAAGCATGTGGTTATTTAAACTGGGGAAGACCCCAGGCTGGCATACTCACTGCTTTCAGCCTCTGCAGGGTTGTTTTACAGTCCTACAGTGCTCCATTACCACTGTGAACAGAAGATACAGCAGAAAGAGCTTGACTAGATATAAAGAACTTGTTAGAAACAGGGCTGATTAACCCTGCTTATCAAAGGAGCTCTGAAAAGCATCTTGAAGGAGCTTCAAGTCCCAGAGGAAAAGAGCTGTCTTTAGGTGGTCAGGGTGCTATGGCAGCAGGGCCAGGCAGAGTGGCCTCTTCTCCTTTCTGTTCTTCTCCAGGACCTCATAGTCATCGAGGACATTAAGTTTATACTCCAACTGAGGACCCTGTAGATAGCCCTCAGAACAAACCAGAAAGCTCTTGTGCTCTAAATTATTGCCAATTTCTATGTTAAAACCATGGCTTCTGTTACTTTTGTATGTGAAAAGCACAAAAGATAAGTTTATCCTTTTTTTAATCCTTTGTATGTTATGTACATAAAACACATACTGGTTTTTAAATATATAACCAAAAGATTTTTATTTTAGAGGGGATATTTTTTAAAGTAGCTTTTACTAGTTTGATATCACTCTATTTTGTAATAAAATCCACTCTAATTAAGCAGTAATCAACCAGTTTAGAAAGAAGTCCAGTTACTTGTAAATGGAAAGATTTAACTTAATTTTTAAAATGGACAACTCTAATAAAGTAATGGTTATTTGTGTCGGTATCAGCAAGAAACTTCAATTTGGTGTCCTCAAACTTAGAACTTCCCAAAGCTTAGTTGGTTTTGTTTTTGTTTTTGTTTGTCTCAGTGACAAAATGGTATATTGAAGAAAAACCCTGAAGATCTTTTGAGTTTTAATGTGACCATCTTTTTTCTTTATTTTGTTGTATCTATTGTAGTTGAATTGTTATAATAATTATTTCTATAAAATGCTACCAGTTTATGAACAATTAGAAGAAAATTCTAGTTAGAATTATATTCAGTGAGCTAATAATGATGATCGTGTTCTGAGAATTTTATGTTTGTTTCCTGTATAAAATGGAAATCTGATTGCCAATTGTTTCAAGTTTCAGATATTTGAGTTAATAGCAGACAAGTAGCAAGGATGCCCCAAAGCAACAAATAACATCTAATTCTCATTTACTTTGGAAAATAGGCAAATACATCCACACCTAGGGCCCACCAAACATAGGGAGGGTAGGCATGTGGTTTGTGTAGCGTGCCCAAGTACATCCTCTCTCCACAAACCTTTCCCATGACAGCCTTTCGTGATGCATCTAAGCCTTGTCCATGTTAGAGATATATCCTTAGTGGTTACTTGAATACCAAAATTTTCCAAATCATAATTAAAAAGTGGTACCTACTAGTATGTATGCTGTGCCAATATTGTTCTCTCTTTCATGTGAGTGGTAGTTTTACAGTATGTTCACTGTACAGTAATTCCTTGAGCTAGACGATTAATTTAGTCAGTTTCCATGATTTCCAAACATTCATTTGTAAATTTGCCCATTCCCTAAAATTTATTTGTAGAAATCTTTAATCACCCAACAGTAAATAACACTGTTATGAATTTTGTGTGCCAGTATAGGGCCTTGTTTTCCAATTATGATGCTGAGATTAATTACTTATAATGTTTAAGTAACTAAATGAAATGGTTGGGCTATATACCTGACTATATCCTAACCCCTAATAAAAGTGAGTTTCTTTATCGGTACCTCTTCACTTCTCTATTAACTAGATAACTATATTGGGAGGTTGACCGTATATAGAATTAAATGCTAAAATCTACTCCCTATGTTACCTGTTTATGTTATTGGACATACACAGTTTAGAATGTAGATACTTAATATTTTCAATTATAAGACATAGGCATTTTTAAAATTAGTTGGTTTCAGACAACAGGATATGCTGAGAACCAGTTTTGCTGGGTTTTTGTGAAGCTTTTATCTTAGGAATAATATTTAGCTCAGTGATTGTAATTAGAGACCTGGCAGTGTTATTCTGAAAAGTGCCTATAATTTTGACCTTTCCTTTCTGTTTCTCATTTCTGTTTGCAAAAGAGGCTATGATTAAAAGCCAAAAAAAAAAAAAAAGAAAGAAAAAGAAACAAAAGTCCACATTTAATGATTACACATGGTACATTTTATCTTTTCCAATACCATCCTCCAAAATGCAGCAGGACAGAGGGTTGTTTTTTTCCTTCTTCTCTGAAAATGGCTTACTTGTTTCTCATTAGAAGGAGTCATTTGAGAATGATACTATCAAAATCTGTCAGTAGGTCCTGCAGAATATTCCAGATGTTCCCCTACAGCGTCTTGCAAACAAATGATTAAATGTAATACTGATAGATTTTTAGACAAAAATAAATTTTAAATAGTTCTCATAAAATTACATTGTTTGTAATGATAAAACACATTTTAAAAGTTCCATTCTTCTAGAAACTTTTAACTTGCCATCGTTATTTTTTAAGTTAATCTTCCAGAATATCTTTTCTATCCCTGCTCTGTGGAATTGAACACCATGCAGAGATAGGCTTGATAGCTCATGTATCACCACCTAAATTGCGCCTATCTAATACTAAAGGAAAAAAAGTAGTTAAAAAGTAAAAACCTAGTTCCTAACATGAAATACTATTTCTTAATTTTTTTATGTTAAAGAATGAATATACTTAATTTTCCACCAAGATATCTTGAAATTGACTTTTAAAAATTATTAACCATGTTATAAAAGTTCAAATAAAGCTATACCCTTGAGTATTTTTTTATTTATTTGTGGGATAATAAATCAATCCATCTAAGTATAACTGGGTTTATTTAAATTAGTGACTAATGCAGTGACATTGTCTATATTTCACTACTCTGTAACAAGTAGCACCTAAAAGGGGAATATAATAAAATACTTGTCAGAAATAGAAGTCAGGCTTTATTCCTAACTTAAATTTAAAAATTTTTTAATGTTTTATTTTAAATACCACTTTTTAATGCCAACATAAACACTGTTTAAATGCCAAAAACAAATGCCTTTATATTGCTCTTGCATGTTCTGTGTTTGTAGAAATGAAGCACATTTGAGTTATATAAACCCCACAGTTTCAGAAAATCTGAACTCTTCAGAAAAAAACCGAATTTTGATATAGTTTCAGATCATTTTTCCAATGTATAAACAATAATTTACTCCTTCAGGAAAAAAAAGAATGAATATTATGAGAATATATGAGATAGATATAATACAATGAAAGAACTCTCTTCCTAACTTGCCTTTTTGGAAACTGTCTACTTCCTCTTCTCCAACCCAACCCCCTTTATTCAAACAGACCAAAGAAGAAAGAGAGATTTCTGAAAAAATTATATTTTTGCAGCAAGGAAGCTCTCCATTCTTTGAGTCTCAGGTAAAAACCAAACATAAAGGGTTTTCCAGAAGGAATTGCTCTTCAGACTTCAGTGTCATTAAAATGTTTTTAGTTTTTTTTTTCCTTTTTAAATGTATTTTGTTTAAAACCAAAGTAGGTACATAATTTTGATTTAGATTCTGGGGAAGGGAAAATGGAATTCTCTTAATATTTTAGTTATCAGTTATGCATCATTTCTTTATGGCTGCTTATCCAAGCTGATTTTTCTCTGTATGTTGTCATTGACTTACTTTCTAATAATAATCTTGCTGAAATGTTGTTTTACTGCCTGTTTTTACCTGTAGAATGGTGCTAATTTAGATGATGTTGATTGATTTTGAAAGTTCTGAATTCTTATTGGTTTCCCCACTAGCCAAGTGTGATAAAGAAAATGCAGGAAGGAGATTCTGCTGACTCTGTGGTTACTTCTCGTCAAATAATTTTCCAGAAAACTGTCCCATCGACCCTAGAGGTTATTCTTTTAATTCATTTCACCTCATCTAGCAGCAGCATGTAGATGGATCTGTAGTAATTTTTTTAAGGCACACATATTTCTAGATTTAAATTTTCAGGCTGCAATAAACACAAATGTTTCTAGAAAACATGCCAGTTTAAAATGTAAACCAAGGCACTTACTGCTCCTAGTTTGATATCTCTTCCCTCTGTAATCTGTGAAACTATTAACCTACCTGGTCATATTATATTATGCCTTCCTGAATACAAAAGTTTCTTAGCTTTCATTTCTTTAGTTTTATTGGAACTAACACTAAAGAAAGTGGGAGAGAAACTCCTGAGACAATAAACTTCAGTTATAGATAAGATTGGAGCCGGGCACAATGGCATGTGCCTGTAGTCTCAGCTCCTGGGGAGGCTGAGATGAGAGGATTGCTTTAGCTCAGGAGTTCAAGGCTGACGTGAGCAACATAGGAAACCCCTATTTCTTTAAAAAAAATGTAAGACTCGAACACTATACAGATCACTATAAGGGGCTCTAATAGTGTCCCATTAGTGGGAAATATTTCGGTATAATGCCTTGAACACAGTCACACTCAATATTTATTGAATAATAAATGCTATCATAGATTCAATTCCCTGTATAAGAAAATACAGTTTACAAATATAGAAAATGATATTAACATAAATTTGTAAAATGTTGGGAAGTTCTTTGTGAGAACAACAGTATATGAAGTATAGATTATATTTAACGAGGAAAGCTTTTTATGCCCACACACGTAAAGCTAAGTAACTTGTAGAACAACTTCAGTAATGTTATTTAATCTTGAAATATAAAATGATCCAAAGTTTATCATAAGAGCAAATCTATTCTTCAAAAACTTTACTGCAAAGTATGCTCCAGTTTAAAGAAGTCACAACTCTGCCTACAGAATGTATTCTGAGCTGAAGTTTATAGTTTATCATTTCAGAGGAGAAGAAATTGCAGCCATAATTATTAGATAATAACATAAGCTCTGGACAGTCCCATCACAGACCTGCATGTAGCAGTTGCCCTGGTTTTTTTTAAAGGATTCTTATTTTAGAAATGAGATACCATCAGAATTTCTAATTTAGCTTTTATATTTCAAATATAGGGCACAGAGGATTGGGTTATTGTAGACAAAATACCCACTGAGGTAGTTGATGGTGATTCGAAAAAGATTGTGACTTACAAGGTGGTGACCGTGAGCAGTAGAACCGGTGACCTCGCACCTGACATGTTAAAATCTGGCACTATTAAAATGCATAGCTTCGAAGACTTGGCTCGAGAAATGCAACTGAAAGAAGATAGCAAACAGAAAATATACACTCTAGGAAAATCCTATGACACTGTCTCCGGGAGAATTGTTACTATGACTGAGAAAGCTAAAGAGGGCGAGAAAGTGGGACAGCCCTACACTACGGAAGCCCTTCAGAAAATGGAGAAAGGAATGTCAGAGTCTGTGAAGACCATTCCCGGACTGGCAGAATATGAGGTACTGGAAGCCCTCGCTGATGAAAAATCCAAGAGAGGACCCGAGGTCCAGACCACAAAGCGGAAATTGTCCGAATCACTGGCGCCCATCAAGGAGGCCGAGTCTCGCCGTCAGAGTCCAGAAGATGACGACCTCAAGAAGGCTCCACAGCTGGGGAAGGACTTGACCGTCCCCCCTGGCCTGGAAGGCAGACGCTTCAGCAAAACAGAGCAAGTGCCAGAGAGTGAGGTCTTAAAAGTGGGCCTCTTTGGTCCCCGAAGGAAGAGCCTGTCCGAATGGAGATATTCCCAGGAACCGGCCTTTACCGTTGCTACTGCCCATTACGTTACTGAGTCGTCCGCCTCCCGAGTAGTGGTAACCAGTGTCGCTCATTGGGGCCACAGTTTGCAATTCCAGCATGACAGTTTTTGAGGCAGTCCCCTTCCACCCCAAACCTTTTCGTTTCTCTTGCTGCTTGGCTTTATGTTGAGAGCAGCCAACCCAGCTTTTTAATTTTTTTTAGTGGTTAAATCAATACCGCAGTGCAAAGTCAGCATTTAAACACTTTCCATTTTATTTCCAGCTCCCCGTTCCCAAGATGTGATAGTGCTGCTGTGGCTTGCAATGAAGGGGGAAAAATACCTGCTTAAATCGGCGCCATCCTGATCCTAATAACTCTCTCTGCTTTACCAAACAAGAGCTCCTGGTCACCCCAATTTTCTATTTTATTTCCCATTCTTTTCTGTTTCCAAACTCTGTATCTGAGATTCCTTCATTCCTCCTCCCCCGTCTCCTCTGCCTATGATTTTGTCTAACAAGCTGTGAATGTGTTATGTGCCTAAGTTTGTGTCTCTCTTTTGTGCTTGACTCTGCCTTTCTTTGTTCATTCAGACTAAGCAGTCTTCTGGGGAAAAGCTCATGGATGGCTCTGAAATCTTCAGTTTATTAGAGTCTGCACGAAAACCAACAGAATTCATAGGAGGGGTTACTTCTCAAAGCTGGGTTCAGGTGGCCATTTGTTTTCATCCTTGGTGTTTCTGAATGTACCCATTTGCCTTTCCTTACTCTTTTTGGGGCGTAAGTGTGTGTGTTGCATCCAGCTGGCTTTGCCTTCAGTGTTTCAAAGGTGTCTTCACTTAATTGTCCTTTATGCTGGCTTGGCATATCTGTCACATGCCTTTAGTTGCATCTCAAGAATGTATTTCAGATATTCAAAAGGCAAACATGTTGAGAAATTTTAATGGCATTTAATTTCTAAAAGCATTATATCTCACCACCTGAGTCTAAGAAAGCAGCCCAAACCAATGTGAATGTGCTGCAATGCTTTGGTTTTTGTTAATTGCACTTTATCCTGCTTTCTGTTTGTTTTGCGGATGTCCTGAAGCAGCAGCACAGGTTCAAGTGCATGCACCAGGGGCAGGGGCAGGGGCAGGCATCAGAGATTCCAACGGGAGGAATGAAAGCTAATTTATATTTCCTGTCAGTGTTTTTGGTTATAAGCTCTTGATGCTGGCTTTAGGCGTCCTGGCAAGTGGCAGCTTTAGTTATTTTCTGACCTTTGGTTGATGGAAGGTCACACTGATGCCACAATCTCTTCTCATGCAGAAAATGGAAACCAAGACGGAATCCAGCAGAATCGAGACGGAACCCGCCTCACACCACCTACCACTTAGCACTGAAAAGGTGGTGCAGGAGACTGTGCTGGTGGAGGAGAGGCGTGTGATGCACGCAAGTGGGGATGCTTCTTACACAGCAGGAGACGGTGGAGATGCCACAGCACCACCCACATTCCCGGGGGCTTCTAGTGTTAAAGGGAAGGAGGGCTCTGCCCTGATGGAGGGGGCTAAAGAGGAACCAGGGGAGGAGGTCGCTAAAGCTGTGCTGGAGCAGCAAGAGACAGCCGCTGCTTCCCGTGAGCCACAAGAGGAGCAGAGTGCAGCCATCCACGTTTCAGAAACTTTGGAACAAAAACCTCATTTTGAGGTAACTAGTAGTTAATGTTACTTTTATCACTAAAATAAAGCTGATACAGGATGCCTGGAAATTTAGATCAGCATAATGGTAAGGCTGTTCAATTTTCTGTGAGTTTTTCCTCTTACTTCCTTCTACCTATTAGGGGCCTTTATACCGCTTTCCAGCTTTGGAGTTACATCCAAACATATCTCTTAATTATTAATGATATAGCACCAGGAAATGGTTTCTGCTCTCACTGAAATTATTGTAATTGGCAGTAAAGTTGAGAAATGCAAAGTTGGCCAAGATATTAGAAAACGTGATAAATTTATTTCTGATGAGTGCACTTTTCCAGAAGCACCAAAACCATGCTTGGCCAGGTCTTAAATGCCAGAGTATTCTTTATTCTCTTTTATTGAGATTCCTGAAGTATTTGGGAAGTTAATGTCTCATTATTAGTTCTTCTTTCTAAGAAGTTATTAAATAGAAGACTTATATTTTTTTCTTATTGCCTTCAAAATGTTTTTCTTTACCTGGAGAATCTCATATAAAAACGTTATGAGATTCCAGGAGACTGTTTGACATGTATGTGTTCTATGCCTCGTTCCCCCGCTTACTCCCCACATAAACGTTAATTGCATACTAACCTGTGCTTATAACCACCAAAGAGGAAAGGGAAGAAAATAGTCTGTTTGTGCAAACTATAATAGCCACTCTACTTACTTCCCTTTGGCACAGTCCTCAATGGTGAAGACGGAAACCATCAGTTTTGGCAGTGTTTCACCAGGAGGAGTAAAGCTAGAAATTTCTACCAAGGAAGTGCCAGTAGTTCACACCGAAACCAAAACCATCACATATGAATCATCACAGGTGAGATGTTCTGGGAAGACCAGAGCCCTGGCTCCTCATTTCACCCCTCTTATGGCTTATCGTGTTTACATAGAACTGCACAATATTTAATTCATGAGACTTAGAGGATCCAGCAGCCAGACCATCTCTATTAAAAGTGAGGCAATAATGGTCATTTTATTACTTATCGGGGAGCAGCAGGTGACTTAACCAAGCCTTTATGTGTCTCGAAGTGTAGAAAAAGGCTCAGAAACCTGTTTCTCTAGCCTCAGAGAAAGAAAAGTATTCACTCGGCCATCCACCTCTCACATTTCTAAATCTTAGGTTTTTTTAAATGACAGTTATCTCTGGTTGCACTTACTTCTTATTCTTGGGAGCAGCTCTCAGACTCTGAAGAGCACAATGATTGTACAATGGGAGATAAAGAAATTGTCATAATGCCTTAAGTAGCATAATCAACTTCTGTAGAGCAAATGTGAGCACCTGGATGAGGGGTCTATTCCTCTGCTGCTTTAGGTCGATCCTGGCACAGATCTGGAGCCGGGCGTGCTGATGAGCGCACAGACGATCACATCTGAAACCACCAGTACCACCACCACCACGCACATCACCAAAGTAAGTGGAGTGAGAAAGAAGAAGAGGATTCCTTGAGAGCAAGCTGGAGGAAGGTGCTTGTTCAGAACTTCTCACAGGTTGGGCTACCCAAGCACAAAGTGGCTTGACAGTTAGGATGTCGGGATAGCTGCAAGGAGAGCTTTTACAACTCCTAGATTTACAATGCACTTGTCCTCATGTGTGAGTTCCTTTTTAGGAATGTACATTCTGATATCCTAAACTTAATGCTTACTTCAGTACTTGGCATGTGGTAGGTGTTCCAGAAACACGGGCCATTCAGACCCAAAGGCCTCCACTCTATCCTCACTTCTGGAATTAAAAATATTAAATAACTGCCATAGAACTCTAATTTCAATTCTCAAAGAATAAATGGTGTTACTTAATGCTCTGTCGGGATCTTCTGCCATTTCCTCCACTGAAGAATGATGATTTCTCCCAGTGAGTAAATTCATAAAGCTTCTCTTTGTGTCTTGCAGACTGTGAAAGGGGGCATTTCAGAGACAAGAATTGAGAAGCGAATAGTCATCACGGGAGATGCAGACATTGACCACGACCAGGTAGTGTGTGTGAGACGGTAAATACCCTGGCAGAGAAACAAAGAAAAACCTGTTGGCCCTACAGTTGCAATGCTATTCCTCTAGTCCAGCATGTATTCCGAAAAAAATTCTGAATTAACTTTCCAGTATATGATTTTCCTTTTGTAATCATTGTACCTCATTTGTAAATTGTGGATATAGATCTAGCTCGTAAGTCTCCACCTTGCCACTGATCATGCATGTTCCACCTCCTTTTTGTTTTTGCCCTTCTGTGATTTCCTGGGGATAGGCGCTGGCTCAGGCAATTAAAGAGGCCAAAGAGCAGCACCCTGACATGTCAGTGACCAAAGTAGTGGTCCATAAAGAGACAGAGATCACACCAGAAGATGCAGAGGATTGACCAGAGGTAAGAGGTGATGCTGATTCTCTAGGCTTGCCTAGGCTGGCATGAGGCATGGGGCACTTCCTTCTCATCCTTCACCTGATCCTTCCTTTCCTCTGTTCTCTCACTGGCATTTGTTGGGCTGGTTACCGAGAGGTTGGAGAATTGGTTTATGGGTTTGTCTCACATTTGGAGCTTCCCTTCTTGTGGAGTTTTTGCATGTACTGCCAGTCAGAGGATAAAGGAAGAGCAGAGGCTATGCTTGTGTGGTCTTCCTGGTGTTCCCTTTTATTCCATGCCCTGCACTGTTTTCATTTTCCAAATTTGTAATGTCAGAGTTGATTTTACTTGCCATGTGGCCTAAGGCAGTGTTGCTCTGAGAGGCTCAATTTGTGTGTTCCAAATACTAGGAAAATAATATATACCCCTTTCTCCTTCTGATGGCAACATTATCCCATTGGAAGCTTTCTCCTCAACGATGTTTGATTATAGCCTGTTTATACTTTGGTCTTTGGTTTTGTTTTTTAATGTGAAAGCTGAGCACTCACTTTCTTTTTGGATGTCTTATATTTCCTGTATTCTTTGGGATGATTTTTCTCCCTAGTGTAGCACTGTCTCAGGAGGAGGCAAAAAATGCAATCTCGTGGTCCTTTAGAAAGCACATGCCTTTCCAGTGGCTATTTGGCCAGCATCATAAGCAGACTGTATCATCTGTGTGTGCACAGACTTGTCATGCATACTAACCTGCCATGCAAGAACTCATGGGGCTGTGAGCATTTCCGAGAGGGCTTTGAATGCTGAATGCAGCAGTCAGGCGACTTACACAACTTGGTGATGTGATAAAACGTGTAGGAGATTTAATGTATTAGTAAGTTCTCTAACATTGGTTTAAGAAACATAAATTGTTGAGTGGCATCTCTTAAGAGAAATATAAAAATCACCCATTTTACTCAAATGAATAGTATATTTTGGAAGACAGCAAAAAAAAAAAAATTCTTCCATGAGCTTCAGCCACTTGGGCGTTATCGTAATTACTTAAGAGAAAGTGTATAATAGGCAGTGACTTAACACTGGAATGTCATGACCTCTTGTCCAAATGAGCATTCTATCCCCTAAGATACTGTTTTTTTGTCCTTGATCTGAGACAATCTTTCAGTTGTTTTCCAATGAGTAACTAATCAAATCTCTTTTCTGCAGGAATAACTTAGCTTGCACATGAATGCAGTCATGCAAACCATTAGGAAAACCAGAGCCTATATGGAGTGCCCTCTTCTAACCCAACTGACTTGTATCTGTCCGTGGAAAATTTCAGTCCAGAAGAATTGACCTTGACCATTAATAAAGACACTGGCAGAGAGATCCTCCCATAATAAAGCAATCTGATTCAGCATCACTAAACTGATAATGCATGAAGCAACAATAAAATTACAAATAGCCGCATTTTTAATTTTCACAAAATGTCTCAGTTTTCAGCTATACCTGCACGTTCATAACCAACAATATAAACCGTGATTTCATGTAACACATAAGCAATTCATGCCTTTCATAGTTTATTATTATTAAAGTCTAAACAAAATTGCAATTTCTTAGGTAACAAACCTTTTGTTTACAGTTAAACGAAGATTACCCTCAAATGCTAGAAGCTGTCTAGGTCCATCTGATGTGTCAGATTTTTTCCAGATTAGATGTGCCAATAATCAAGTTTATTCAGTAAACAACTTATACTTGTTTCATCTGGTTTTATTACTCTCACCCATAAACAGTAATGACTCTCTGACCCTCTGGAAATATTTAACGCTTACAATCTTGCTTTGTGTATCTCATTTAATTTGTTATAAGGTAGTACTGATTTTAGCATATTAATGTGATTTCTTCCTCATTGTTTGCTTTGGTCTGTGTTCAATCCAGAGAGCTTTTCAGAGTTCCCTAACCAGTCCTAAATATGTAAATTGTCATTATTTTGAGAAGAAAAACCTGTATTTTTGTTAGTTTACAATATCATGAAATTTCACTTCAGGAGAACCTGTTGGGCTTCCTGTGGCTTTGTTTTCTTAGTTTCTTCTTCTGTGTATTTTTTAATTGATTTTTCTTCTTTTACTTGAAAAGAGTGTTTTATTTTCAAATCTGGTCCATATTTACATTCTAGTTCAGAGCCAAGCCTTAAACTGTACAGAATTTTCACTGTAATTAAAACTATTTAGTGTTATAAATAGTCTTCAAAAAGAGAGATTCTCCATTACACAGTCACCTGCATCACAGCCCATGGTGAATGTATGTTTCTGCATAGCAAAATAAAAACGGCAAATGCACTGAAAGCTGTAGGTTTCTATGTTTAATAATTTCAGGATTGTATGTGTTGAGTCCAGAGGTAATATTTGCATAACATCAAAGGCCTTATTCATCTACACTGTAGAGCTATCCTGCCTTTACAAGATTAAAAAAACACACACACAGAGTATACAGTATGCAGTGTCTGTACCCTTTCAGGGATTGAAGATGGGAACGAAATACATATACTTAAATATTTGGTTGCCTAAGAAAGGTTTAAAAAATACATCATTGAATCTCATCCTGGAAGTGTTTAGTTTTTGTTTTTAAATAAGAAACAAGACTCTGCTATAAAACAGGGTTGCTCAGCCTACAATCTCATGACCCATTTTAACAATCACTGTCACTGTCATCCATTTCTTTCATTATATCCACCTCTTCCCAGCACATCTATTGCCCTATTAAGTCAGCGTCAACCCTAGCTGTCTTAAAAAATCAACATAGAGTCTGGAATGTGAATTTGAAATTGCTTCTAACTTACAAATGTTATACATTCCTTGCATTAAGTGCTTTTTGTTTTATTAATCTTTCTTACTGCTTCAAATTAACTGGTATAGAAGTTTCTGCCTCAGGTTGCCATAGAGGTGGCCTTGTATTTGAATGGGCATTTACTCATGAAGTAAAATTGGATTGTTCCATATTTTAAAAAAAAATTTGTGGCAGGCCACCGGTGCATATAAAATCATGTTCTCAGAAATGACATTTATTTTGACAAGTAGTTTCTTATCAGAGCCGTTTAGCTCTGAGGAAGGGTGACAGACAGATCTGATCCTCCCCCACGAGTGTGGCTGTTAACACAAGCATGCATGCACAAACATGCTCTGCTCAGGAAATGGGAATGGGGCAGCAGAAAGACTGGCTCCAAGGGGCTTTGACGTGCCCTATCTCAGCATCACTCCACCGTTGCTGGTATGGAACACTTTCCACTTGAGTTGAATACCACAAAATTTCAGGGGCACTAAAAGACATCTAACTTGATAAGAAGAGGTCAAATCTAAGAACTAACCTTACAAAGAAGTTGCTGTGAATAAAAACATTCTTATGGGTGTTTTGTTCATCCTATTACACATGCCAGAAACCTGGGAGACTTGGGCAACAGGGTTTTCCTCGCCCATCATTTTCCTAGCCTGCCAATTACGTTTCTTCACTATCTCTTTAATCTAGCCAGGGCACTATATCTAGACTATTCCGGTAGCCCACTGACTCCTGTTCCACATTCTTACCCACATCATCCAGTCCCTTACACTGTAGCTTGCAGTCTTTCAAAAAATACAAATGTAATATTGTTACTCTTGTGCTTAAAATGTGTTTTTGGCTTTGCTCTTAGTGTAAGGCCTCAATTCCTTTTTTTTTTCTTCAACTTTAAGATTTGGAAGGTACATGTGCAAGTTGTTTGCATGGGCATATTGCATGATGCTGAGGTTTTGGGTATGATTTAACCAATCACCTAAGTAATGAGCATAGTACCCAATAGATAGTTTTTCAACTGTTGCCTTCCTCCTCCGTCTAGTAGTCCGCCATGTCTATTGTTCCCATCTTTGTGTCCATGTGTACCCAGTGTTTAGCTTCCACTTATACATGAGCACATGCAGCATTTGGTTTTCTGATTCTGCATTAGCTCATTTACAATAATGCCTCCAGCTGCATGCATATTGCTGCACAGGGTGTGATTTTTTTTTCACTTTTTATGGCTGTATAGTATTCCATGGTGTGTATGCATTACATTTTCTATCTGATCCACCATGGTTAGACACTTGGGATGATTCCATGTCTTTGCTATTGTGAATAGTGCTGTGATGAACGTATGCATGCATGTGTCTTTATGGCAGAATGATTTAAATTCTTTATATCCCTTTGGATATATACCCATGAATGGGATTGCTGGGATGAATAATAGCTCTATTTTTAGTTCTTTGAGAAATCTTCATACTGCTCTCCACAGTGACTGAACTAATTTATATTCCCATCAACAGTATATGTGTCTGCTTTACTCTGCAGCACACCAATATCCTTTTTTTTTTTTTTTTTTTTGAGACAAAGTCACTCTGTCACCCAAGCTGGAGTGCAATGGTGCCATCTGGGCTCACTGCAACCCCTGCCTCCCGGCTTCAAGCAGGTCTCCTGCCCCAGCCTCCTGAGTAGCTGCAATTACAGATGCATATCACCACAACCAGCTAATTTTTGTATTTTTTGTAGAGACGGGGCTTCACCACGTTGGACAGGCTGGTCTCGAACTCCTGACCTCAGGTGATCTGTCTACCTTGGCCTCCCAAAGTGCTGAGATAACAGGAGTGAGCCAGCGCACCTGGCCTTTTTTTTTTTTTTTTTTTACTTTTTAATAGTAGCCATTCTCCTTGGTATGAGGTGGTTTCTCATTATGGTTTTGATTTTTTCTGATGACTAGTGATGTTGAGCATTTTTTCTTATGTTTATTGGCCAGTTGTGTGTCTTCTTTTAGAAATGTCTGTTCATGTCCTTTGCCCACTTTTTAATGGGGTTTTTTTTGTTAGTGGATTTTTTTTTTTTTTTTTTTTTTTTTTTTTTTTTTTTTTTTTTTTTTTTTTTTTTTGAGACGGAGTTTCGCTCTTGTTACCCAGGCTGGAGTGCAATGGCGCAATCTCGGCTCACCGCAACCTCCGCCCCCTGGGTTCAGGCAATTCTCCTGCCTCAGCCTCCTGAGTAGCTGGGATTACAGGCACGCGCCACCATGCCCAGCTAATTTTTTGTAATTTTTAGTAGAGACGGGGTTTCACCATGTTGACCAGGATGGTCTCGATCTCTTGACCTCGTGATCCACCCGCCTCGGCCTCCCAAAGTGCTGGGATTACAGGCTTGAGCCACCGCGCCCGGCCTTTGTTAGTGGATTTAAGTTCCTTATAAATTCTGGACATGAGACCTTTCTCAGGTGCATAGTTCGTGAATATTTTCTCCCATTCTGTAGGATGCCTGTGTACTCTGTTGATAGTTTATTTTGCTGTGCAGAAGCTCTGTAGTTTAAGTAGGTCCTACTTGCCAATTTTTGTTTTCATGGCAATTGCTTTTAAGGACTTAGCTATAAATTATTTGCCAAGAAAGGCCTAAATTCTTCTAACCTGGCCTGAAACCTTGCATGGGCTGGCTGCTCCCCACCTGCTTCTCAACCACAGAGGCAACAGTGTCCACTTATTCTGGGATCCCTCTCCCCCTCCTTGTTCTGGTGAAGTGCTGGAACTATCCTCAGCCCTGTTTTACTGGGTCCCAAATTCTGTTGTAGATCTGAGCTCAGATGTTCCCTTCCTGATTTTACAGATGAGCTTGGCCTATTATACACTCTCAAAGCAACATTTTTGGTAGCAAATTTCATGATTGTAACTTTTATTTTTCTGCCCAATTCTTTGAATGGATCTCTTCTGCATGCCATGGGTCTCACAGATGGCCCACATCCAAGCATTGTGTCTCCATGAGTGGTGCTCAATATTTGTATGAATGAATGAACTCATTGATAAAGGTTACTTTGCTAAGATAAATTTGAAACATCAGTTTTTTCCTGAGTTTTCTCTGTAGCCCAGCGAGTGTGGGGGAGTGGCTCCCCATGGAAACAGTTCATATTTCAGCTCCCTCAACAGCTCTTATGATTATGCCATTATCATTGAGTCAGTCACTGGGAAGCATCCCTCAGTAAATGATGGTCTCTCCCAGAATCTGCCATTAGACATGATGGGTTGCTTTCAGCTCTCTAATTAGAAAAGGTTACACTTTATTTCACATGTGCTAATGTCAGCCTCAGTTCAGTTAACATCAGGTTGAGAGCTATTATTGTTGAGTTCTAAACTTTACATATATTTGAAAGTGGTCTTGGAAGGTGGAGTCTCCTTTTTTCAAATAGTCGCATTGTAAATTTCACAAGATACCATTTGTGGATAATGGAAGTCATAACCGCTTCCTAACGTCTTTCTCAAAGTCATTAATTCTTCAGTCTGGGCATGTCGGCGGTAAGAGGGTAAGTAATACAGGCTTAAAACCCTGGGGTTGGTTTTGACTCCTTTATTTCCTTTGCAGTGCAAACGATCCATTACATCTAACCTTCCTTTACCATCTCACTTTAAGCCCTCGTCATCTCTCACCTGAACTGTTGATCAGCTGCTAACTGGTCTCTAAGTCCCATTCATCCACTACCACCACCCGCAACCTTCCACCCCCAGTCCTTTAGGCTGCTCACTTGTCAGTCTTAAAGGTGTCATCATGACACAACCAAAAATCCTTTTGTGATATTCCTTACTCATTTCTCAAGCCTCAATTCCGAACTCCTAATTTTGAATTAAAACTACATATCATCCTGTATCCCACCTTTTTTTTCTTCCATATTCTGCGGGATGAACTGTATACATCTAATAACATGACAGATACACCAGTGGTCAGAGCAGCATTATTTACAGTAAATGGTGAAATCAGCCCAACAGGTGAATCGCTAAACAAACTGAAATATATACACGCAATGGAATCTTACTCAGCCATAACAGAGATTGAAGGGATTTCTTTGGTTTTGATTTTGTTTTTGTTTTGTTTTATTTTCTGAGACAAAGTCTCACTCTGTTGCCCAGGCTGGAGGCTGGAGAACAGTGGCGTAATCTTGGCTGACTGCAACCTCCACCTCCTGGGTTCAATTGATTCTCCTGCCACAGCCTCCTGAGTAGCTGGATTACAGGTTACCATACCTGGCTTATTTTTAGTAGGGATGGGTTTTTACCGTGTTGTCCAGGCTGGTCTCGAACTCCTGAGCTCAGGTGATCAGTCGTCCACCTCGACCTCCCAAAGTTCTGATATTACAGGCGTGAGCCACTGCTTATGGCCTAGACTGAAGTTCTTACATGTGCTACGACATGAATTACCCTTGAAAACTTATCCCAAGTGAAATAAGCCAGACACAAAAGGACACACTATATGGTTCCACTTATATGAGGTACATAAAGTAGTCAAATTCAAAGAGATAGAAAGATGGTGGTTGCCG